AAATGGATTTGTTTCCATAACACAGAAAGAACGCACTAATAAAAGCGTCATAGAGCTTCCTTTTAGCGAAACGCAAAATAAATTATGCGGATTTTGGGTTTAAAAATAGTTCAATTTTTATAAATATTTTTTTAGAGCAAATATTAACTTTGTTGTTTACAGCTTATATGTGGTACTTAAATGTGAGTTTCTTCTATTTTTTTTTTTCATAAATTATATTACGCTTACAGTCAAAACGCGAATTTATAAAATTTATATGTATTTTTTTACATATAAATTTTATAAATTCGCTTTTTGACTGTAAGCGTAATAAATATTATGCAGTTTTCTCATTAACAATTACCAACTTATTTGGACGTAAGTGAGTACTAGTATTAGTACTAGTACCTAGTACAAAACTCAAACTAAGAGAGTTATTTTAAATATTTTAAATTTAACCAGTATGACTACATTTTAATGTTATAATATCCTGGCATATTTTGTCGCGCTGTTTCTTCAGCTTCATACGTACATAAAAGCTTTCATTAATTCTTATATTAAATAGAATTCACTAACCCTATTACAACTAATAAACGATAAAAACAATGTTCCGTTGTAAGTTGGTAAAATATTACAAGTGCTAATATTTATTATCAGTTACAATATAGATTAGCAATGGTAATCATAGGCAGTAATAATCTGATAAAAATGCAAAACAAGTTGGTCAAGCAAGATAGATACCAAAACTTTTTAAAACAGCAAATAACCGTGACCATGTTTTGTTCTGTAAAGTTTTTATTTAACAATTTGTATTAAATCTTAACTAGCTTTTGCCGCGACTTTGTCTTCGTGATATAGTTACTTTGGGTATAATTTCTAATAATGCTAAAACAAATATTTATTCATTATATCATGTAAAATACGGGAATGTAAAATTTCATGACTTTATCGTTGATAATGATGAACTTTCATATGAATTCCTTATTTCAACCCTTTTATCACAATAAAAAGCAACCTATGTCGTATCTCAATTCAACTCTGTTTAGTTATGCTATTATGCGTAAGAGCGTAAAAGACATATTAGCAGACCTACTTTTGCATGTATAATATTAGTATGAAATATTTAAACAATTCTCCTTGTCGCTCATTATATTATTTAATAAGAAATACACGATTTCTTCGTCGCCTTATAAACTCACAGGTGTTTTTTTTTTTTTTTCGAATTTAATTTAAGGAGATTGGATTAGGAGGCTAGCCCTACAATAGAATGACAGAATTCATTTGCACGGCTATACATCTATCAGCTGATTAACCAGTACAATACGGCTGTACAAAGCCCAAGGAAGTGGTTAACTGTCAAGGATAACGATACGAAACAGAATAGTTAATAGAAAAATATCCGCGATAGTATAATGAAATTACTTTGATGTTCAACTTCGAAGTCACTACATTAAACATATTATATACAGCAACAAATATACATATAATTACATTTTTTAAATATGAGAATAATTGTATAGGGCGTACACGATAGCCAAAAACACAACATTCTTTGAAATTATAATAAACTATCTGAGAATATAAAATACTATCAAATAAATTAAAACAACAGAAAAATATTAAAACATTAATTACACATGTAAACCGACAATATGCAATATATTTCAGCACTTTAAGCTATTTACCAAATTTGAAAAACTGATGGAAAGAAAACCACAAATAAATTTTAAGTTTACACAAAACTTCATAGAAAACTAAAATCTACGCAAATTTCTTTGAACAAAACGATAATGTAATCAATTTTCATTACTATCTTTGAAATCTTTTTAAATAATATTCTTCTTCTTCTTCTTTTATCCGACAGATTTATTATAACGACATATCTTCTAATAGTAAACAATAGTTGCTATGGTAACATTTTGATTCCCCATAAAAACTTCCACTCCGATTTTCAACCCTTTTAAGTGCTGATTTTCGGGATAAGATATAACCTATAACCTTTTTGACCGTTGACCAATTTCCAAAAATCCGTTCTAGTACAATACGTAATAAGAAGAATGTTCCCTCCCAATTTCGAGTCTCTACGACCAGCAGTTTAGGCTGAGCGTTGTCTGTCAGGCAGCTGGGACATGTCTTTTAAAAGTATATAGATGAGGCTAATAAGTTTTTAACAATCTACTTAATCGAATTTTATCTTTTTACTTTGTACTACAAACTCTGCTTCACTACCACAGCACCTGTGGTGATGAAAATGTGAAACTAAATAGGTATTATATCTGAGGTATTATAAATTTATTCACTGGAGAAGACAATACCAAAGTGCAGTGGACAAAATAATTTGGTTACTATCTAATTGGTTATATCATTGAAAACGATAATGTAATTGACTACATTGGAAAATGTTTGATAAGGTATGCTTATTTCGAAACCCGGTATTGAAAACGTGAAATATGTAAAAAATCTTGCTTCAATGCTTGAAGCATCTTGCTCCTTATAGCAGTTAACTACCTAATGACTACCTACCACGCGTATATTCATAGTTAATTCGCGTCTTGTTTACGCTTTACGACTTGTCGAATAGCCTGTACATCATATAAACCGGGTTAATATCAGCCATCTCATGCCTGCTTGTCATAAATGTTATTAGAAGGCGAACGTTATAATATAATATTCTTTGTGTGATATCTTGCTGCGTTGGAATGAGTCAACTAAATGGCTATTGGGTATCATCCCGAAATGCGTGTTATATCTCTTATATTATTTATTTGTCATAAAGATTGTATGTGTCATATCTTTTATTAATTACAATAGACACGTTAACTTTTTATAGTTGAAATGAGTCCTTTTTTATGAAATTGTATAATTTTTTGTTATTTTATAATTTTATGAATAGCGTGTAGAAAATCATCGGAATTGATAACCAGCGTCTTCCCCATCTATGCATCTAACAAATTACTTCATGAGAATCTTCTGATTGATGTCCAGTGCCCCAGGCCTTTTGCCACAGCATAGATTAAAGTAACAAAAGCAAAACGTCTGCCGTAATCGTCTGGATAGATTTGAGAAAACTGTAATGAACGACACCGGCACTAGTCCACCAAACGCTTACAAGTAACTTCTTTAGGGTCAATTTTCGCTCAGGGTAGAATTTGGCTGGCATGAGCGCTTCTGATTATCGTAAAGAATCCACTTTTCATCACAATGATTCGATTTAAAAACCCTTCATTATTGTACCGGTTAAGTAATGTAACGCAGCAGTCGAAGCACGTTTCCCGGTTTGCTTCACTCCATTTGTGAGGTACCCACCTTTCTAGCTTTTTAATCTTCCTAATTTGCTTCAAGTGGATTACAACAGTTTTATCACCAACACCGCAGCCTGCAGCTAAGTCGGACGTGGTTTGCGATGGATCCGCTTCCACAATAGCCTTCAATTCTTCATTATTGGCTTGGGTCTCCGGCCGTTCACGGGGCTTGTTCTGCAGGTCGAAATTTCCAGAACGAAAATGTTGGAACCAAAAACGCACTGATTTCTTTTGCGACATAACCGCCATACACATCATTAACCCTTCGAGCTGTTTCCGCAGCACTGGTACCACGGTGGAACTCGTACTCCTAAATAGCACGATATTTCAAGTTTTCCATTTTTTATACTGGGTAACGTAAATAGGACAAACATAAAAAAAAACAAACGAATGCCGCCTAACGAAACACAAATACATGTGTAAATGGCTGTATTTTGTATTTGAAATTCCCAACAAAGGAGGAGAAATTTGTGATTAAAGTGGCCAGTACGACAAAACGACAATTTTATATGTAAGAACCTAATATTTGATAAATGCAATAACAATGCTATATTTTGATATTTTACAAGAAGAATAAAATATGTCTAATGCACATCTAAAATCAAAAAATTAAGATTCATTTTTATCTCATAGAAAATTGTGTGCCGACTGCTAATAGATGACACAACTGCTTATTTTTTAATGGTCCCTATTGTTTCATTCTTTTATTTTTATATTACTTTATAATTATATGTAATCGGGTCTTGTTCGTGCATTTTTTTAAAACTATCTATTTACCTCGACGTTTCGGCTACGTTACAGCAGCCGTGTGGTAATCCGGTAATAATGTTTTTAACAGATTTTCAGATGTACCCTCCACTTGATTTTATTGTACGTAAAGGTGGCGACACACTGCACTTACGGTATCCGAGAATATTGTTCGTGGTTGTTTGCGATACCTAAGGTTCCCAGGATACCTAAAGTTAACGTGTCTATGTTAAGGGGGTAACGTACAAAATTGGTTCCATTTTAAGGTTTTTTTTTTCTATAGACACCATTTTTACTCCTTTATCAAAAATGTCACACCATTTGCGATCACCAAAGGATATTCCTTACCAAAAACCTGGCGTTTATAAAATTAACTGCAGCTGCGGTAGTTCATATATCAGACAAACGAAGCGGACTATCGTCGAACGTGTAAGAGAACACATAGCAGCGGTCAAAAATCGTCAATTGGAGAAGTCCGCGACACGCACTTATTATCATCTGGATCAAACCACTGGATCGAGTTACATACACCTCATGTCCTTACCACTGGTTTACACACACATTACTATCCAAGGATTGTTCGAGAAGTGGTTGAAATAAAAAAAACAACAATTTCAACCAGGGAAGTGGATATAAACTCTCACCAATGTGGAATCCGGTTATAAAAATGTGAAAATCTGTAAAGTAACCGAAACGTCGAGGTAAATTAATAGTTTTAAAAAAATGCACAAACAAGACCCGATTACATATAATTATAATGTACTTATTACTTTTGATTATATAGATTGCTTTAAAGATATATTCGATAATATTGTTTAATATACATATATCATCAACCTTTAAATAACTTTCCCTTATACTTTGCTTCATTTACAATTTTCCTTGTTTAATTACTATAAAAAAAAAACTGTTATTGTAAATCATAAATATTTTGTAGGAATCGCATGCAAATGACAGCTTCTTTTACCAACTGTAATTATATTTTTAAGGAAAATAAATATAGTTGGTACATCACTTTATTATCTCACATTATTATAAAAAGGCAGTACAGTAGTATAAGTACTTCATAATTTTCAGAGAAAAATGCAATAAAATAGAGGTACATTAAAAGAAAACCTAAACAGTCTAGGTAATGTTGCAAAGAACACTCTTATATTAGAGAATTATAAAAATTACAAGATTATACTGTAGAGGTTCTTACTCCTCTAAAAACACTCTATTTTTATCAACTTTAACTTTAGGAGCACTCTTCAATTTTTTAATAAATTTATCAGCAATTCTATCATCAACTTCTCTTCCAGTCATTTCAGTATACTCTGAGAGAACTTTCTTCTGCAAACGCTTAAATGGCAGTTCATTACCTTTCTTCTCTAATACAGATAATATTACAGCATGCCAATTGAATTTATCATTTTTAACAACATTTTCTTCTAAATCTTCAGCTTTAGCAACATTTTGATCATGAAGACAGATACTGTCTTCTGCAACATTCCCATCTATCTTCAATTTCTTTTTCTGTGCTTTTTCAGTTAGAACAGGTGGATTTTCAATATTCTCTGGGTTGCTGATGACAACTTCAACAGCACTACCTGTAGTGTCTTGTCTCTTTCGTTTCTTATGTTTGTTCTTGCTATCAGTTTGGATATTCTCATCATTGTTAGTAACGGACTCTGTCCTGTTCTTCTTCTTTTTGCCTTTTTTATTGGTTACCTCAGTTTCTTCTTCGTCTTCTGCAGCAACTGAAGGCACTTCAGCACTTTGCAATTCAGCCTCATACTTCAATCGTTTCTTCTCTTCTTTACGTTGTTTCTTTGTCAATTTTTTATCATTTACTTTCCCATTTTCTATGTTTTCTTTGTCTGCATTTTGTGCTAATGCATTATCTATGTCACTAGATTCTCTTTCATCCTTTCCATTTTCTGATTCATCAATCTTTTCAACACCATTAGCAATTCCATTGGTTGTTTTCTTGGCTATGTCACCATTAGTTTCTTGGCCATTTTCAATGGAGTCATTAGTCTTAGTTTGGTTTTTGTTTTGAGTCCCATTAGTAGACAAAGCAGACAACTTTACAGAAATCAATTCCCAAGCTTGATCAATATCTTTGGGATTTGTTTTATGTCCACAAACATTTTTTACAAAATTGACAAATTTTGGCTTCTTTCTTGGTGTATTATTGTGCTTACTTATAGTTTCTACAATCCTTAACACGTTGCAAGGAGCATTCTTCTGTTCATCCAATACAGATTGCAGCATCTCTACCCAAGCATTTTGCTTTTTTTCTCCTTTCTTTTCTTTGGCCATAAATCCCTTGCCTGAATATCTTTCCTCTTCAGTTATACATTTGATGTGACCTTCATAATCTTGGCCCCTGAAAACAAATCAAATTACACAAAGTTTAATACAAACAACTATATCTGTATCAATAAAAAAAAACTTATTATATATGATAAAATATTAAATAAATTTAGTTAAAAACTCACACATGACTATTTATTTTAATAAAACGTTTTAAACTAATATTTTCACTGCTGTCACATGCTTTAACCTCAAATAAGAATGTGGCTAATACAGATCCAGGCTGATGTATGTTTATATTTTCATAGATGTGTTATTATACTAATCTATTATAAATAAAAAACTAACTGTATAAACATATCTTGATCTAAAAATTGTAAGTGGTTCTAATAATACTTACAGGAAGTCTTTAAAACAGTCCATGCAAGATAAGTTTGGATTGCGATTTCTACATTTCGTTAAGTAATGCTTTTCTACTTTTGGTTTCTGCACCGATTCTCCACAGTGCCCACAAGTAAATACTACCATTTTACAAATAAAATACGCAGTTGAGCAGATTTATCGAATATCAAAATTATAAATTTAGAAAAAGTTAACTCGAAAAAGTAATGTTTACCGATAAATTTGGAAGAAATGGCTGTAGAGTATTTATCTCTATTTATACAAAGATTTATAATGAACCGATTTTTCATAAATATATACAAAAACCCTAGCGGAACCGAAAAAACAATATGATAATTGCGAAAATCTCGTGAAACGAAATATCTCGAAATGTCAGTCGGATACTACTGTTAACGTCAGGTGTCAACCATTGCGATTGACATATATTGTTCTGTGGTCACTGGTCAGTGTAGTCTTTAAATATGTGACTTGTTCTACAAACGTGTGAACGTACCCTTCACGCTTAGTATGACAAACCTCGAAAAACGTTTTCTCTAAACCAAATATCACTTTTCTCTTCTTCTTTTATTAATGGCTTATCTGCGAATTTTCCACAATTCTGCCAATAGAGACTTACGGTCAGTTGCACAAACCTTAATTATGATTTAAAGACGCCTTTAGCTTTTAGCCTTTAAGCTTTAATGAATGACTTTGTATGGATAATGTCGCTTTAAACTAATGTCAATTTAATGGACGTTTGTGAAACTGGCTGTTATAATAATTATTATTCTAAGGATCGAGAGTCAGACATTGCTAAGGTCACCAAAGTAAAATTGGTAAAATTGTGCAAACGCAAATAGGCCATGAATGAGGAAGTATTAAAAAAAAACTAAAGCACTTAAAAAGCACTTCCACTAGATGGCGACTCTAGCAAAAGTTGATTTTTGCAATGAATGGACCAAAGACAGTCATTTCCATTCCTTTTAACTAAAAAACATCAATACAAATACGAAAAAGTACAATTAGAATATGAGTTGTTAATTGAGTTTTGAAAACTAATTTACTTTTAAACATGAAAGAAAACCGGAACGGTTGTCATGGAGAAATCTAGAACGTAGCGAACATCTAGTTTGATTTCGGGTTCTAATATTTTTTTTTTAAATACTTCCTCATTAAGAAAGAAGAGATATTGCTGTGATAAAAACTTTTCTGAAATCAGGACGTAGCTTTGCAAATAATATTTATACTATATAATGTATATAGATTTATTATATTTCTCTCCCTCATATCTACGATTAAACTTTAAATTAAACAAAGACAGAATATGTGCGAACGACAGAATGAACGGAAAAATGGGTAATTGATATTGTATTGCCAGCTGTCGAAAATTTCACCCATTGTGACGAATGAATGAATGAACGAGTAGTGTAGATATATGCTTAAAATCAATTAGTAAAATACTGTACCTTTGAAAAATTCTTTGCAAAAACTTTGAAAAAAGAAACAATTACAAAAGTAGGCTCTGTGCATATATATCCCTTTGTGTTTCGATAAAGTTAGTGGTTAAGACAAAAACATTTGTCAAAGTTCATAAAACATCAAACAAACAATTTTACGTATTTTCAAAAGTTGTATCTCGACAACTAACGAATTCCACGCATTGAAAAAATTAAACCATATAAGCATCTTTGTGCATGTATAAAAAAATTAATAAATCTATGAGATACTGCAACATATTTAAGTATTGTAGAGAAAAATGACATTTGAGTGTATATAAAACGTTCTCGAATTCGTCATGTATATTACGCGAGCAGACGGCCTTTCTCTTTCTCCGACAACAAAGAAACACGTTTTTCGATAGTAGGACTTGACACTGACTGATGCATAAGAATTCTTCATTATCATCGTCAGCCCTTTTCACGTCCCCACTATAAGAGCAGAGACTGCAAATGAACTGAAGAATAAAGTATTATCGGTCCCCGGGCTAATAACACCTAGCTCGGAGGGAGACAATTATCCTTTAGTCTCCCTGGCCAGTTGTCTCCATCACCACAGTAGGGACCACACCTTCAACCTGGTATAATAGCTTATTAGCATATTTTTTTGATCATCCAACCCGTGACCGACCCTTCCGAAAATTTAACAACACGAACGCGGGTCACGGCGCTTAATGGCTACGCCACCGAGCTTCTGTACTATACACGGATAATCTTCATGGATATTATTTTACCAAAATTTTAAGAATAATTTGAATTTTAGCTAAATTTAGTTCGAAGACAAATAGGTATAATAAACCCACTGAAGTGTCTTGTTAATTCTTGCAAGTTATAAAAACAATCTATTAATAATATGCTTATGCCTTTTTTAAGTTGGTACTGTTTGTTTAAATTAATATTTTTTAAAGGAGGAATTACCTACACATTGATGTGTACTTTGGGTGCATACAGGTTGAGTGAACGAACGACCATCAATTGCTAATGAATGTCTTAGCGACAAATAAGTGGTTAGATTTGTAGTTAATCCTAAGCAAGAATTTTAAATATAGTGAAAGGTAATATAAAGATATCTGAACTTCTTGCACGCGTAGCATGACGAACTCGAGAACGTTTTGTCTACACTCAAATGTCACTTTTCTCGGGTACGCCCATACGATATCTCACTCTCAACCCAAGAAACTGACAAATCAGTGTAGACAAAGCGTTTCTCGTGTTTGTCATGCTACGCGTGTTGGTGTTGGTCCTAAGTACAGATCCATTTGCCTATAAGAAATAGGTAACTTAGCAGTGTTTTTATCTGTCAATTTTTCGTTCTTCGTTCAGTTTATGCGAAGTTTTTGTTTGTGGCGTCTGGGGGGTGTGTCCTACCGGCTATCCGATTTTATTTAATTTAGAATTATTGTAACCGTAATGCTCGTAAATACTTACTAAAATGGATAAACTTTACTTTTTAGTACTTCTTCTTGCCACTACCTGTAAGTATACCCACTATTTCGATTTAAATACTTGCTCTATAAATCAATGTGTTGAATCTTTTATTCACCGCAATTGTTCAAAATGAATCTTAAACTCTTCATTAAAATTAGTTTATATACACTCAAATTACAACTATAAATTGGATAAATTTCATCTTTTAGCGTCTGTGCACTGCAATTATTATGAGAGTGAGTCAATAAACAATATCCTAAAGATACCAAAAGTCGAAGGAGAACATGTAATTACTTGGTGTACGACCTCTTTATCAGCTCAGGAAAAGTGTGAAAAATTAATGAAAACTTCAATGCAAGACAAAGGTCTATTTGGCAAGGATTACATTGAATTGCAATGCAAAAGGGTGAGTCCTCAAAAGCTAAGATTAGAGAGTAAAGTAAAGTTTTTTAAGAGTTGTTGTATTGTTACTATTTTATTTGGATAAAGCTGATACTCTAGTTGATGTTGTTGTTACAAACATGCTGCTATTAATAAATCATAACCCAATTTTTCAGGCTTTTGATTCAGAAGAATGTATGAACTGGGTGGACAGGGGTGAGGCAACTCTACTTGGCCTTGATGCTGGAGAAGTATATGTAGCAGGCAGATATCATTCACTTGTTCCAATCTTGCAAGAGGTAGCTTACTTTTATTACTATTGCACTTTTCTAGAACTTATTCAAATACCTATCAGTATCTAAACATTTTTTGATTATTTAGTTATATGGGCGTGGAGAACCTTACCAGTATGCAGTAGCAGTATTGAACAAAGGAGGTCTACCTCATGTGCAGCCAGGAATGGGCCTGCATGGTCTCCGAGGAGTAAAGGCTTGCTTTCCTGGAGTGGGTGCACTAGCTGGATGGGTCATGCCAATTCACATTGTAAGCTGATATAATGTACATAGTTGCAATCTAATAAATTAGGAAATTTTCTATCTCTTAAACTTTTTTATTATTATTTGGAGATTCATCGACATCCTACAAAGACAATATATACACATTTTTTGATGTAATAATGATCTTAAAAAAGATCAATGTTTAACCTTAGATTACATACTATCCAGATACCATATTGGTACACAAAAAGTGAATCCCACTAAGAAGAGTCACAATGACAACCGCCTTTGCTGAGCAAATTTGTCAATATTATATAAAAAAAAAGATTATTTTCGGAGTAATATTATGTTTAAATCATACTTACAAGAAAGATAAGAATTTGAGCTTTACTTTTCATTAATCATCATCATATAAAATACAAAACTGATAAAAACAAAAAATAAGTAAAGTATTTGAAAATTCATATTGCCATAGATGTAAAATTTAATTCTGGGTAAACTAAAAAAATAACAAGTGTCTTTTTTTTACTAAACACTAAAGAGGTTACATTATCATTGCGAAGCAAGAAAATGTACCAAAATTTATGTCTGTTTGATCTGTCTGGCAAAATAATATTTAATTTGTTTATTTATTTTGATTTGTATGTAACTAAATATAGAGACTAATAAATTCTATACTGTTATAAAACAATATATAGGTAGGTACTACATAATTTTTCTAATAAAAAGATCATTTGTTGCTTTATTGGGTGCTTTCTGCTGTGCAATATTGATAAAAAATGACCTGTTTTTATATACATTCACAACTGGATCAATAGTCTTTATTTGCCGTCATTGAACTGAAATAAAATGAAAGTCTATAGATAGATACTGGTGGTACTAATATAGATAGATAGGGATATATGATAGCAAATTGTGTGGCGAAACAAATTTTAACTCGTATAATTACTCATAAACTATTAATTGTAAAAGTGCTATATAATTCCCTTGGCTATTAAGTTTCTGTAAAAAAGGTATAATTACAACAAAAAAATGCCTAAATGATGAATTTTTTTGTAACTTTGTGATTTATTCTCTATGGAAAAATAAAAAAAAAATGTTGTTTTGGCCATTACAATAATACCCTGGGATAAATTATTTGACACATTATTTCTTACAGTCTTAATTATATAGTTCAAGGTAGTTGAAAGTTGAGTGATGTTAACTGCATGAGCCCTATGAACTTTTAAGTACTGTAATACTTTTCATATATCGTTTTCATTATGGAACAGTTATGTTTGAATTTAAAAATATAAATCATATTAATAAGTTAAAATTACAACATTTTGGGGTATACATTATATACTGTTATCGCTCGTGTCAATTTATTTGCTAAGAATAGGTATTACAAGATCTTAAAAACTATTACTATCGCTATTCAGTTAATAATAATTAACAAGCAAAATTATCTGTTTTAAGGAATGTGTTTATATTATAATAACATTTTTTCACGAGCCATTCTCGCAGTCTTTTTGTCATTAAGCTCTCAGATCCATTCTTATATTGTTCAGGAATCTTATTATAAACCTTGACGCACATGCAATAACAACTTTTTTGACTTAATGAAGTCTTTGGTTTGTATTCCAAAACAAGTCTGTCACTATCTCTAGTGTTTCTAGGGTACATGTCCTTGGCTCTTTTAAATAAATCGGGGTGTTGCTTTACAAATTTAAAAATTTCTAAAATGTACATACTGGGCAGGGTTAATACACCCAATTTTTGAAACAGTGGTTTACATGTATCAAATGGACCTTTACCACATATAGCTCTTATGCATTTCTTTTGGGAAATAAACACTTTATTTGCATCTGTACTATTGCCCCACAGAAGGAGTCCATAAGATATATTTGATGCGACATAACCATAATAAGCAGACAATGCCACCTTAAGAGACACTTTTAAAGTTAACCGTCTTAGCACATAAACATACCTATTTATTTTATTACAGACCCTCTGAACATGGGTAGTGAAGTTCAGGTTTTCATTTAATAATATTCCCAAAAATGTCACACTGTCAGATCTTTCAATGATTCTGTCGTTATGCTTCACATTGAGATTATAAGCTAAGCGTCCTTTTATCTTAAAATTAACATAATTAGTTTTACATAAATTAACATACAAATTATGGGCATTAAGATATTGAATTATATTATTGATTGTTTCATTAATGTCATTTTCATAATACTCTAAGTCGTCAAAAGGATTAGATTTAATAATAATAGAAATATCATCAGCAAACATAAAACATTGGTTCTTAGTCACTTTTGGCAAGTCATTGACATAAAACAAAAACAATATCGGTCCCAGTACGCTCCCCTGTGGTACTCCGAATTTATTAATTTTATAATTTGATCGATCTGCTACAGCCACATATTCATCGTTCACCTGTAGTGACATGATAAGGTTCATTGTCATTGCGCTTTATAGGGGACACGGAATTTAGATATTACATCATCTAGTTGATTAACAAATAGTTTCTAAAATCTTATATAGTGTTTACACAATTTTTTTTTCAGTTAATGCAAGAAGGTGGTCTCAAAATAACAGACTGCAATAACCATGTCAAATCTGCTATAGAGTATTTTGGAGAATCATGTGCTCCTAATTCTTTGAAGGATTTGTACAATCCAATTGGTGATAATTCTGACAAGTAAGTAATTTTATTAATAAGTATAAAAAAATAATCATAATAGTCTAGAAATAAAAAAAATATATATAATACTTTATTGTCAATTATAATATGCAGTAGTGTAAGTATATCATTTGAGGCCCTTGGTGAATTCATTGGATTTTTTACTAAATGTGCAATAATAAATGTTGGGAGTTGGGATTCTCTTCAGACTGAGAGCCTGTTCCCGCTGGGAAGCTGTGGCATTTTGACGATTTACCACACTGAAGTTACTTCACTTCATATATTTTGGCCCAGCTGTTACTTTCCCAAATCTTTTTTGGCATATGCTGTCTGAAGTCAACTTTATGTTTACTTTGTTTATCTTTTGTTATAGAAATAAGACAGAATTTGAACAGTCCATAACCAAACAATCATAATTTATTTTTTATATTAAATCATTTAGCATAAAAAATCAAACCAATAGCTCCTTTCTATTAATTTCACTGGAATTTATTTCTATTTTACTTATCAAATAGTCTTTGAGTTTTAAGATGCCGTGTGTGACTAGATAATCAATTTGAGTTCTAAAACCCATTTATAGTAGTGTTACTTCTGTTTAAGGTTATGTAAACTGTGTGTGGGTGGTGCAGGCATTAGATGTACTTTGGCAGACCCTTATGCGGGTTATGAGGGGGCTTTAAAGTGTCTTGTTGCAAATGGAAGTGGAGAAATAGCTTTCGTAAGAGACACTACAATACAACATGCTCTGCTATCAAGAAAAATACTAGGTAAATTACTTTCTACTTCTAATTCCATCACTAGATGGCGCCTGTAGAAATTGAACTGAAAAGTTCGAACACAATTCAAATAAAGATAAGTTTAAAATAACAACTCCGATTACAAAGATATTGATTACCTAAGTAGGCATTATTATAAATACGTATATTGTAATAGAGAAAAAAAGTAATATAAATCAAGATTTTCATTTATTTCAATAATCCTCGAGATGAAAGTACAGATCCGCAAATAAATACATGTGGCATGTGCATGTGTGCATCTGTGTCTCTGTGTCTGTACACAGCTTGTGAACATGTGCGGCGTTGGATTCGTCATCAGGTAGTCGTTGTTCCGCTTCTACATATTATTTCGCTATATTATTATGTATAGCAGTGTCAGTTTAAAAATGTTTATTTTGTACTTTCTTTTTTAGTGTTGAAAATTATTAGCAAATACGTTATTGAACATATCTTTTTACGATTAGAATTTATTATAAGTCTCTATACAATGTGCATATAATGGAACGTGTATGAACGAATGAAAACCGACAGAACGAATGTTTTACGGGTTGCATGTTTAAATCGATGTTAGTTAGGCAACAATTAAAAATGGATTTGTAATAGACAAAGTTAAACATCATTTTAAACAGGGTTTCTATTCTTAGACATTGTTTAGTTAAACACATGGTAAAACTCTGTCTATTATTATTAACACAAAATTTTTAATTATCTTAAAATCTTACCTACCATACTTGCAATCATCATTATATGTTGTTATCCAAAATGTCTTATAGGTGGTATAAGCGAAGATCGTTTCGAGTTACTATGCCGTGATGGGTCCCGTCGAAGTGTAACGGAATGGGAGCAGTGTAACTGGGGCCGCGTGCCCGCCGACGCGATAGTTACTAGCAGTGCTGCCACCACAGAAAAACGAGCGAAGTGAGAGCCTAACATTCCTTTTGTACAATTAACTTCATATCAGGTTAAATAAATATTCTAATTCTACAGTTTATTTTAAACCTTAACAGTATTATTAATAAACAAGGTTTAGTGTTAGAGTGAATTTACGCTGAGATTGTACTTAGTATTAGTTAAAATTCATATTATTCTATGGGACTAATATTTACTCCTAGAAGGCATATAATATGAACTTACACTAAAATTGCAATTTTAGCGTAAATTTACTCTGCTAAACCTTGTTTATTTAAAGCACTGTTATATATTGACTACTGAAATTTGAAATATTTCAACAACTTGACATGCTGCTGTGTCTACTTACATATTTTGTATGATATATTAATTAGGGGCCATTTATAAATTACGTCACCCGAATAATTTGAAGTAATAGTCAGCTTCATCACCAGCCTATGAATGTCCCTGCTGAGGCTCAAGCCTTCCATATGGGAATATAAAATAGAGATAATGGGATATGACCCAGCACACGAGCCCAGTGCGGATTGTCTTAACGTGCCTTCCAGAGCATGGAGTTCGAGATAATATTTCTTTGGTCACCCATCCCGTCCGACCCTTGCGAAAGTTGTTTAACAACAACGATCGCGCTAATCCACTACGTAAAATTTATATTTTTTTAGATTTATATTCAGAAAGAGTGTAATTTTATCCAATAATACAACATTGTTGCATATTTGATTGAATCATTCATTTCCAAAAGACAAAATGTTCGAAAAAGTTTGTTCGTTACTACATGTGCTAGTGCTGCCTATTAGAAACTGCATAATATTCCCCAGTTTTTTATTTTATTTACATAATGGGTAACACAAAAGACATTAATTGGAAATTTAAGTGACGACTGTTTAGGACCAGATTAATATCCTAAAGGTGTATACAGTAAAAGTTTGAAAAAATTTATTATACAATTTTGCAGATACCAAAGATTTCTTCTGAAGATAGTTGAACTGTACGGAGAACCGAACCCATACAACAAAATGTCAAACCGCACTGACAATTATAAACCTGTCAATGGTTATGGCAATCCTTATACAACCACTGAGCAATCACGGTACGACCCATACAGAAGGGATAACTTCAACAATTACAAAGAAGAAGAACCAAAGTAAGTACAGTCAACATCACGTCAGACTATACGTAACTGTCACATTTACCCTCTCGCTTTTGAACCTTAATACATTAAGAGTAGATGTCAAAATCCATTGTGGAATTTGATATATTAGAGTGACATGGTGCAGTTGTATGGCTATTAGATTTTAAGTTGAATGAAGTGTGAATAGCTAGAATACTATTATTATTAGATGTTAACAGTTCTTACTTCATTCAAATTCTCGTCTATTTGTTAAAAAAATCTTGAGTGTTGACATTTTCTCAATTAATTAATTCTCTCGACTATAGATACGAGTCATCACCATCATCACCAGCCCTTTTACGTCCCCACTGCAGGGGCTCAGGCCTTCCTTATGGATGGTTAAGGAGGATGGGCCATGACCCTCCACGCAGGCCCAATGCGGATTGGAGGGTATTAACGACTGCAAAATGCAGCCGGGACCAACGGCTTAACGTGCCTTCCGAAGCACGGAGTAGCTCGAGATAATAATTTTTTGGTCACCCATCCCGTGACCGACCCTTGCGAAAGTTACTTAACGACAACGATCGCGGACCGCGGCGCTTATCCACTACGCCACCGTGCTACCCTACGCCACCGTGATACGAGTGTAAGACTGGAAATTCTGAAAATAAAAAATATGTAGTGACATCTGAATTTTGATTTAAGTTGTAGAAAATGTTTTCAATACTTAAGTCGTATTTTTTTAGGAAGCCTCTTAAACACCATAGTTATTTTATTTTACACAGTTCATCGTTGTATTCGCCATACAAAAAACGCGTTAACAACAATGGTCAACCCATCGAGTCCCAGTTTCAACTGTTCAGCTCAAATGGCACCACTGATTTACTTATACAGGTGATTCTTGGATTTATCTGTCATGTTATTTTCTAACATCGGTAATACTTAAGTTGTGTATCTTTCAGACAGGTAATATTTAACTTCAACAAAATTCAAAATTGAACTTGGGCTTTCACTACCAACATACAAAAAGCAGAGTTTATAAAATACTAAACTATGAAATAAACCGAGCGAAACAGAAGAAAAATGAGAATATAGTATTTCGGATATACCTATTAAGAATTTAAAAAAAAGTGATTAGAGGGGGATCAATATAATCATGATTATACTTTGTTTCTAAAAAGGTCCCTTAATGTTTCCGTGTTAATGTGTCTGTCTGTGATAGGGCAGTATTTTTAAACTGCAGTTGATTATTCTACTAAACAAATGGAACTTATATAATTTGTAATATGAAATCTAAATTTCTAACTACCATTTGTATAACAAATGGATGTTAAAGTTATTTTAATGAACGGCAATTGACATTGCTCCAATTGGTTGAAACTGTTTGCAAACAATTTAATAAATTTCCTTAATTGTAGGATGCCACTATAAATTTCCTAGCATTGAAAGAAGAGGACCAGGCAGCTAAGCACATCCTAAACAACGACTTTGTAGGTGACCAAGCAGAGAGAGCAGTGTTAGCTATACGGGATTGTCCAGTTAAACGTGCTGTACTGTGCGTCACCAGCGATGCCGAGATGGAGAAGTGCGTCAAAATGAGGGTAAATATCTATTTGACCAGTGGTTCTAAACCTTTTAGTCATTACGAACCACATTTTATCTTGTCATGGCAGCCCTGGACCGAGGGGGGTATTAACGTTTTCTTTTGTTGTTTTGAAGTGAAATTGAGCTTATTTTCTACATAAGTAAAGTATTATTTTATATGTATTAAATACGCATTAATTTATTATTATTTTTTATAAAAATAATTTTAAGAGTGTCCATTGACCACTCGGCATGCTCCAGGGACCATCGGTTATAAAACAACTGATCTATATTAATACTAATATTATGAAGAAGAAAAATTTTATCGTTTTACCTACTTGAAAAGTCTGACAGTTGAAGTTATGTAGCTTCCACAATAACAGATCAAATTGATCACTTCTTGTCTACTTGACGACGGGTGTTTTTTTTCGCAACTCGACACTTGGTGCCCATTTTACGTCACTGTCCCTGTCAGATGTCCACTTAGCAGTAAGCCATTAACGGAAATATGTAAACGCAAATAGGCCATGAATTAAGGACAACAAGAACTACAACTTACTGCTAAGTGGACAGCTGACATTATAATTAAATGACTGCCATTCGCACTGACCAACCATTTAAAAAAAATACGAGTATGTTGTTTGACTTTAAAAGTAAATTGTTCACACAAAGCATCTCAAAGGAGAATGATTTTTTTTTGGTACTTTATTCCGAAAAAATTTAGCCACTACAAAGAACTCAATTCTTTATCTTTCATCAAAGTTTCAGGCGGAAAAGTTTCCGCGTTTTAGAGAAGTAAGTTAAAAAAATGGTTATGGTTGCCTAGAAACACTAGTATGCACAGCCATATAACTCATTTTAAAAAATTAAAGTGCAGAAAATTAAATCAAACGCAAAGGGACCTTTGTTCACGGCCTAGCTTTCAGCAGGGTGCTTTGTAGTAATTACGAAAGTGGGGAAATTCCGATAGTAAATTAAATATGTTTGTTATAATTAAAAGATTTTTTTATCTAGTAAAAGCGCTGTTGTAGAATTCTAAATTGCTGGTCACATTCAGGCATCCTGAATTTGCCTGTTTTGTGTATTAACCCAAATAACCTTATAATAACTTAGCGTTCCTAGTAGTCGAATCACAGATCAATATTGTGAAAATCGACTTCATAATCTGTTTACTATGTGTCCATTCTAATAAGCCAAGAACTGAATAGACTCAAACCGGGCCTAATCAGCGTTGACGAGCTTCGATTCATTTAAAATATCTCTGTATTTGACATTAAGAGGTATGAAATAACAATATAAGAATATTAATTAAATAGCAAATAAAACTGCTAAGTGGACAGCTGACATTCACAGCACCAATTGGAATGTAGACTTAGGGATGGGGTTGCCAAAGATTTTCTTAATGCATTTATGTTGTTACTACATAAATTATAAAATATCCACCAAATGATGTTCAAATCAGAAAATAAAATTGGCGGCGCCTAAAAATAAAATAAAATGAGTAAATTCATTTACCCTCTATCGGTTAATATATACTTTAAACTTGGTTAGAGATAATTTGAATAAAGTACCAGCCTCCGTACGAAAAAAGTTCTGCTTTATTACTAGTAATTATTTATTGTTGTAGGTCGCGTTGAAAGCCGCGTTTCTTTCCCCATTATTGATTTGCTGGCGTGGGCATAGCACGAGGCATTGCGAGCGTGCCATCGCCGAAGGAACCTGTGACTTCGCTATGTTTGACTCAGGGGATATGCTTCATGCAGCTTATAACCATAGACTCGTACCTTTCATGCAAGAGGTTAGTCTAGACTTTTAATTGAATTACTTACTAATATTATAAATTGGTACTTTGTAGGAGTTTCTATACTTACTAATATTATAAAATGGTAAAGTTTCTAACTTTGTTTGTAGGAGGTAATCATTGGAAATTTATATTTAAATTTTTATTATTTTACCTATGGGAAGGAACATCATAATTTACACGGACGAAGTAACAGGAAAGATGTAACCCCACCCATAAAACCCCACTGAATCTTACCTAAGTAGTTATAAATTAGCATTCACAGTATTCACAAAGACTCATGATCATGATTTGGTTAAATAAAGTGCCATCTATAAAATGATAGAACTACTATAACGTTCTAGTTAGCGGAATGTTTTCAGCCACCTGCTACGGTGGCGCCGCCGCCACCGATGCGGCCGTAAGATGTACTTATTACAGTTTATTCGCCATTCAAACATGACAGGTCAAAACTCGTGATGGGCGCAAAAGACATTTGTATGTGTGTGTAAAATTCATGCATGTGTTACGGTTTTTAAAGGCGCTTCTTATAGCAACCTGATTAAATTAAAAAGTCATCAAAAGAGTAGCATTTGCGTAAAGGGACAATTTAATTTAGCCGGTGTTAGTTTAAACTTTTTTTTCGCTATTTTGTTTTCATTACTTTGCTGTGTGATTAAGTTTTAATTAATCAATCTAATTACACAGTGATATATTTACCGTTAACTGTGGAAAATTATAACTGTTCTTTGTAAAATATTCTGTGGTATTGGTATAGGTGTATTCGAGTGGCAACGATTGGTATTACGCAGTGGCGGTCGCTAAGGAACAAGACCCGGACACTGAACTGACGTACCTGCGCGGCAAGAACACTTGCCATACAGGCCTCGGCATGGCCGCGGGGTGGTTATATCCACTAGCGTACCTCATATCAAACGGATGGATCAGGTAGGTATTAATTATAATGATGATATACTTTATACACACCTATTTCTAAATTCGATTGGTACAAAACTGAAGGTAAAAAACTAAAAATTGAGAAGTAATTAATTAGCATGCCATTTAGAAAATTGGTTAGCAGAACAAGTATATACTATTTTACTTTGGAAACAGCCTATAAATCAATTGGCAAGTACACAAATATTTTGTCGGCAATAATAATAAACAGACTACAATTCTCGTTTTGTAAAGAATCATGATAAAATGGTCAGTAATTTAAACATATATGCAGTGTATTTTATTGTGTCAGCAAAATAAACTCGCGTCGCAAAATAATAATAATGATTTAGGCAACAAAAAAAACACTTATATATAAAGTTTATTTGATTGGTGTGCATATTAAAAATTTGGTAAGCAACATAAATAGTTGGATTACGTTTCTAATGAAAAGACAGCTGCGTTGATTAAAAATAAGTGGTGGCCCTGATTATGCGGACCTGAGTATTTTATATAAATTTCAGCTTGATACCTCCACGCGTTCCTAAGAAAAAGGGTCTTAACAGACGGACGGTCTGTCAACAATATGATCCTATATGGGTTCCGTTTCTTCCTTTCGAGGTACGAAAAATGTAGAAAAAACAAAACTATTTTCTCATAAAAGAAAATCAATATATTCATTGATAAAATCAATAAAACGCTCTGGTAGCTATAGAATAGGCGGTCGCTATCTTGAACGTTCACGGAATAATAAGTGGTGTTGTCTTCATTCATTGTTTCAGATTAACATAACATAAAAGTGTAACATTAACTAATTTGGGATCTGAGCAACATATGTGATGTTATCTAATGTTTATGTATTTCTATTATCCCTTATTTTCTGTCAGATCGTACAGTTGTGATGGGGCTCACGCTGCTGCGGAATACTTCACGAAGTCGTGCGCACCTGGAGCGTTGAGTAACGAATACGTGGATTCTAATACTGTGCCTCAAGATAACCTGTGCCATTTATGCCATGGAGCTTCCTTCAGGTAAATTATTCACTTCACTTCACCTCACTTTAGTATGTATTTATAGGTACTATTGAGATTCCCCTGATCTGCAAACTGCATGAAATATTAGGTAATATTAAAATTCTCAAGTTTATCAACTCTAGATCAAATAAGAACATCAGTCTTGCCAGTGCTGAACATTGAGTATTTAAGTGCCATTAAAGTCAATTCCAATCTTTTTGTTGTCATTTTTGGCTTATAGCTTAATGTATTTGGGTGGAATTTCTAACGCTTTCTGCCCTTATAACTCTCGTGCAACGCTAGAAAATAGTGATTTACGGGATTGCTATCACTTACAGACCATAGGCGACTGTAACAAATCTGTAAAAATTTCCCACTTCATTTTAAACCTTAATACATTAAGGCCTCAAAGGCCGGCAGCGCGCTTGTAGCTCCTGTGGTGTTGCAGGTGTCCATGGGCGGCGGTAATCATTCACCATCAGGTGATCAGTCTGCTCGTTTGCCCCCTATTCCATAAAAAAAAAGTAGAGTTAGAGCCCCTGAATACGAGCACCCTATAGGCTTTTCCACATAGCATGGGTACAGTGACGTTTGGGATTTGAAGTTTTTAGTTATGTGATGATAAAGCAGTTGCTATTTTAGTCAACTATAACGAATAACAACAAACTTAACAATAACAATCTAAAAAACAAACAAAAGCATAACAAAAATTGTGTCATCTCAACACAACTCAAATTAATATGTGTCTCATCGATCAGTGTTTATTTGACTACCCTATTTGCGGGGATTATAACACGTTATGGTGACGCCATGTGCAGACGTTGTCGCCGCGACGCCAGCGAGGACTACTTCGGTCACGTGGGCGCGGTGCGGTGCATGGTGGAGGGTGGCGGGGACGTGGCGTTCGTGCGTCACACCACGCCCGCGGAGGTGTCCGGCGGGCGGCGCCGCGAGTGGTGGGCGAGGGACCTGCTGCCCTCCGACCTGCAGCTGCTCTGTCCGGACGGTGAGTACTGTAGCGTTAATGCGTCACACCGCGAGTGGTGGGCGAGGGACCTGTTGCCCTCCGACCTGCAGCTGCTCTGTCCGGACGGTGAGTACTGTAGCGTTCGTGCGTCACACCACGAGTGGTGGGCGAGGGACCTGCTGCCCTCCGACCTGCAGCTGCTCTGTCCGGACGGTGAGTACTGTAGCGTTAGTGCGTCACACCGCGAGTGGTGGGCGAGGGACCTGTTGCCCTCCGACCTGCAGCTGCTCTGTCCGGACGGTGAGTACTGTAGCGTTAATGCGTCACACCGCGAGTGGTGGGCGAGGGACCTGTTGCCCTCCGACCTGCAGCTGCTCTGTCCGGACGGTGAGTACTGTAGCGTTCGTGCGTCACACCACGAGTGGTGGGCGAGGGACCTGCTGCCCTCCGACCTGCAGCTGCTCTGTCCGGACGGTGAGTACTGTAGCGTTAGTGCGTCACACCGCGAGTGGTGGGCGAGGGACCTGCTGCCCTCCGACCTGCAGCTGCTCTGTCCGGACGGTGAGTACTGTAGCGTTCGTGCGTCACACCGCGAGTGGTGGGCGAGGGACCTGTGCCCTCCGACCTGCAGCTGCTCTGTCCGGACGGTGAGTACTGTAGCGTTCGTGCGTCACACCGCGAGTGGTGGGCGAGGGACCTGCTGCCCTCCGACCTGCAGCTGCTCTGTCCGGACGGTGAGTACTGTAGCGTTCGTGCGTCACACCGCGAGTGGTGGACGAGGGACCTGCGGCTGCTCTGTCCGGACGGTGAGTACTGTAGCGTTCGTGCGTCACACCGCGAGTGGTGGACGAGGGACCTGCGGCTGCTCTGTCCGGACGGTGAGTACTGTAGCGTTCGTGCGTCACACCGCACACCATACTTTTTTTTCTAAAGCAGGGGAAATTCAACCTTAAACCAGAGCTCTCAGACACCGCACCCGACCTGATTTCGGCAAGGAGCCCCGCCGGATCAAGCCCCACTTCTAGGGCCCCCTAAATTAGTTGCCTTTACACGTAAATAGACGATAACAATAATATCGTGGTCTTGTATCTACACGGACAATCAAGTCATCAATGTCCTTATGTAAAAAGTCCGAAAATTCAAATAATCTCATTGTTATATCTTAAAAACTCCTTGATTCCAAGTTACTAAATTGATTTTATCACTTGCACATCCATTATGACCAAAGAGTAAATGTATATCACATTATGCAAATGCCTAGCCAAGGCGCCGCAAAATGCATATCTTAACTTAAAGCGTTGCCCATAGTCGTTTGGCTCCTTGTCATTATTGAAACGCGTCTTCATTTTAGACAATACCCATATATTTAGGCGTCAGATTTGAGCGACTCCTAAGTTTAGTGAAAACGGGTATTATAATCTCTCGCTTAATTAATAATTCACTAAATCGATTTAATGAATGTCCTATATCTATCAATCAAACACAGAACTTCGATAAGACAAGAATTCTGATTTTGTTTTTTTTTACTTTTCACTGAGAGTCAGTTGCACAAACGTCCATTACGGTTTAATGACGCCTTTAAGCTCTAATGTATGTCGCTTTAAACTAATGATAATTTTAATGGACTTTTGTGCAACTGGCTGTTAGTCTACAGCCATGATCTGTGTTCCATCTCGCATGAAAGTGTTTGGATTATCTGATAATAAATAACCTTGATTTCCTTTATTGTTATAAAATATATTCTTTATTTCCTTTATTGTTATATTTGTTGTGATATCAGCCACATTAATGCATACTCAGTGAAAATTTCACTTGAGTATCCCACATTAATACACGCTAGCTTAAATTTAAAAATTCTTTTCACAGGTACTCGAGCCAAAGTGCATGAATACAAGCACTGTAACCTCGGTAAAGTCCCAGGATCAGTACTGATGGGCCGTGCCAATCATACCGAGTTGGACACCTACTCCAATCTGATGATCTATGCTCAGCAACTATATGGTGCGACGGCGGCTGATGAATTCAGGTAATTTAAAATATGTTTTTAATATATACTTCCAAAAGATCCATCGTTCGAATATTAAACTAAGAGCTATATTCAATGTAATTTTAGTAGAATATTTGAAAAAAACAAGGTTTTGCTATAAATATATTTAAATTTCAATATTTTTTTAAGCATGGCGTCGTCCATTTATTACGGATATCGACTTTCCCCCATCTATGTCAGATGAAAGAAGAATCGACTTACCCCTTTCCCTTGTTCAGTAATAAATTATTATGTATCAATGTGAAGCAAAAACTATTTGGAAAATAGTTTTTATAATATTTTTCTTTTACATTCTTCGTCTTCTAAGTTTAATCTTAATTTTTAATCTCTTTGTTGGTTTTTGGTACCTCCTGCATTAAAGAAAAAATAAGACACGATCTACCCCTCCTCCTCCTTCATCTTACGTAATCAGTGGATAGCGCCCATGAATTATCTAAGAAGAAATTTATCTATTATCTTTACTTTTCATTAAATGTTTGCGATATTTAAATAAATTAATATTATTTTCAGCTTCAGCATGTTCTTCTCTCAACCACCGTATTCAGATCTCATATTCAGCGACGCCGCTGTCCGTTTAAAGCCCCTTTCCCACCAAAAGCGATCGGCAGACATAATAGCAGGGAAAGCATTACCAAGGGCAGCTAAAATCGTTTCGTGTGATGCACCACAGTCCGCCTATTATATTGCTGCTGATTCCAATTTCTTATCTCAAGCCTATAGAATTGGGGTCGTTGGTCATATTATCGCAATAGCTTTGTTCGTAGTAGCTTTATTAAGATAAAAAAATATTAGTTCCATGTCTATTCTTTAGTCGATAATTGACATCACATGAGAAATAAGAAGACTATTATATACTTAGATCTGATTTTGGAAACCATATTTCTTTAATTTTAAGGTTATATCTATTTAAGATTAGTTTCTATTTTTTATCACCACATACCAAATATGTATTATGGAAAGCATGTTGATGTTGATGAAAACATTGATTATATTTTTGTCTTTATTAAGTTATTTCTGAAGTGCTTTCTTTTTTACTATTTAATTTCTACACTAATTTTATAATATTTTATATTATTATAAGTTAAAATGCATCCGTCCATGTGTTGTGCCTTATAAAACTAAACTGCAATATTTTATATTTAAGTAATCTAGTAATAAAAATTCATATTTTAGTTTATTTCTATTTTTATACTTATGTATTGTAATGACTCCTTAAATTAAATATTCATTTGTATGTTGAAAATGATTAAAAATAAATTTTTTTTAGAACTGTGTTCAGGAGTCAACAATATTTTTTTCTGTTTTTTATTTTATAACTTTTATACCTTAAAGTGAAAAAAGCATTTTATTTACCGTCCAAGGAAAATCTCAACAAGCTTTATTTTTTAAAGGTTTTATATTTGATAATAAAATTCAAATGAACTTGATAGTTTTATTTTTAAAATTTTATGTTTTATGAATTAACTAGTGACCGCCAGCTACTTTGTCCGCGTTTTCCATTATTTCTTCGCTCGTAATAGTTGTAGCGTGATGTTATATAGCCTAAAACCTTCCTCGATAAATGGTCTACTCAACACAAAAAGAATTTTTCAATTCGAACAAGTAGTTCTTGAGATTAGCGCGTTCAATCAAACAAACAAACTCTTCAGCTTTATAATATTAGTATAGATATGTTTGGTAATAAAAATCAAATGAACTTGACAGTTTTATTTTTAAAATGTTATGTTTTATGAATTAATTTAAGATTGAAACACTGAAAACCCTCTGGTAAACAGTTAAATTTTCTCATGACACCTCTCAAATCAGATCGTCTACAAATGTCTTTTGTTGCCATACGTAATTTAGAACCATTGACGTCAATTCTGCTAGCATGCTCCCTCCACTTTCCAAATATACAATTGCACTTTGAAAGTTCATTGTTTATAAGGGGCACTATTATTGCACATTTAGGAGTTTGCTTAGCACACAAACTTAATGCTAATAATGACAAATAACGAAAATGATTTATGCAGTAAACAAACACAAAATCACTTGGCTTATTTTTCATTAATGTCTCTATGATGGTGTTGCCAAGTTTAACAGTCACCTTCTTTTTATAAAGTTGTAAAAATGTTGCCATGTCCTCTGTACTGCAAAGCAACGCTAATATAGTGCAGAATTTATTTGCTGACAAACAAAAAGTTGTAAAAATATGTTCCCATACAAGACTTTCTTGGTTATATAGAAAATTAAAAATATGTCCATTAATTTGCATGCTTGACTGTCCAATCCTTGACTCTAAGAATTTATATAAATTATTAACAGTACTGAAGAAAGATATTTTATAACACATTTGACCACTAAACACACTGGAAGCTCTGCTCACTTGCAATTCAACAGTTCTATAGGAGTAACCCAAAAATGTTATTTCATCACTGAATTTTATATCAGGATATTGGAAATTAACAACTGTCTTTTCATAATTGACATTCTTATATTTTTTTAAGGCATCCAAAAAATTGAGAGCATCAGTAAATGAATCTGTTATATAAAAATAATCATCCACAACTCTTAGGAAAAGTTTTATTACATTATCATTTTCATTGTTTATATGATCTGCAAAATTTATGTCATCCAGATATTGATAGTATATCTCAGAGAGTGCCGGTGAATATGTGTAACCTTGTACTAATCCCTTTTTCCAAAGATAAACAGTTGAACCGGCTCGAATCAGAAAATTTCTCTTTACCTCATTAAATATTTCTTTGAATAATCTAATGTTTTTCTCTTTGGCTTGAAAATTTTCTTCTTTGTTCTGGTATTTTAAAAAATTTTCTTGCATTATTTTTAAGAGAATAGTTTTGTCTACAGAACCAAAAGCATTACTAAGATCCGTTTTAATAAAGTACAGTTTTGGTTTACCCAACTGTAACCACTTCAAGTATAAAGAATTATATAGTACTTCCATTTTGGGGTAATATATACCTGCTAATAATCGAAGAAAGTTCAGTTTTCTTTTTATAACTTGTTTCTCTAATGATGTCTGTGCATCATATTTATAACGTATTATAGGTCTAAAGTCATTATTCAGTTTTAAAATCAAATGAAGCTTTGGCGTTTCTTTTTTTATATTTTTCAATTTTAATCTCATATCAAGATCATGGTTTTTAACGAGTTTTCTTCCCATACTATATGGTTCAACTTTTTTTATAATACCCTTTAAAACCATTTTACGGATGGATTTATCAAAAAAGCTTTGCCACTGATGTTTCCAAAAGAAATGCAACTTATTTTCATCATGATCTAGTTTACAAGTTGTGACATGGTAGTTCAGGCAAATGATGAGTGACAATAAATTCCGTATAATCCAGCATACTATGTTAAATAAAATCCTATCCGATTCTGATGTAGATAAAGACTTCCATGGCGTAAATGAGAAGTCCCACTTTCTCATGTATTTTCCTAATTGAATATGTTGCGATTTCATGCCATAAATAACTGTTTCAATTATTTCTTTAAACAAACTTTCATTACGTTTGACTCCAAAGAAAGTTTTTGGTATAATACTAATTAAAGCCGTCCAACATTTATTCATAACATCAGATTTATTCAAAGAAACCAAGTTTAAATCATTTGGCTTAGTAAAATAACTTCTGAAGTCATCTTTGGACGAATTTTTAATATTAGTTTTTAAAACAAATAAAACCTTCTCAATGTCGGTAGATAATTGACTCACCAAAGCTGGTTCTTCAAAAACATTTTCTAAAAACTGAATGTGATTTTCTTCTTTGAGTAAAATTACTTTAAAAATATTTCCAGAAGATCGCACATTTTGCTTATCTACGAATAACTGCGTGAAGCATATCGGCGTATCCATTTTTAAGGCTGGGTAAACTAAGAAACAAATAAAATTGAGTGAGTTTGCGTGAGGCTCATCAAAAACTAAGTAGTATACATTTTATTATTCTATCTTGTTTGAACTTGTTCGGCGCGGCGATTTGTTGACAGTGTACGTTCCGTTATTCACTTTAATTCTTTAACTTAACATTACATCACATACCGTTTCCAAAGAGCCAATTTCTTTTTAAAGTATGTAAATATTATATACTTTAAAATTCTTATATAAAACAAAGTCACTAATACAAATCATAGATACTACATAATACTGGTATACAAGTATACAACATACATATTAAACAATGGCTTCAAACACTGCATCCGCGGCGCTACACTATACCTTCAATCGGGCTCATAGTTCATCAGCTGACTTTGACATTTCATTAAGACCCATATTACATCTCAACTGTGATTTCTGCGTGATTTTTCTCGGAAACAAAAATAAAATAATTTTGACTTGTTGAATAGTGAAGAATAACTCTTGGTATAGAAATAAGTGGCCCAACTTTTTGGAAATTTTGCTCATCTTTTTAATTAAACCCAAAATACCAGAGAAAGATTTTCATAAAACGCGCAGACACTTTTTTGAGCTCCTGGATTGAGCTACTGTTCTTAACAAATTAAATAAAAGAAATAGAATGATATCTCTTATATAGTCGTAAAGTAAACAGTAGCCTCGAAATTTTGAAATAGCACTGATTAAATATAGAAAAACGATCATATTATAAACCAAAAAACATCAAAAATTGCATGAAGTTAACTTTGAATTTCTCTTAACCACAACAATATTATTTAACAAAATTTATGCCAGATTAATGACTATTTCATAAGGAACAAAGATATTATAATTTTAAAGCATAAATTTATTATATTATTTCAATAAATACGATAAATGTAAACGCAAAATCACTACAAAAAACTGAGCTCAGTACCGCGCGAGCGCTCCTCAACGTTAGACCTGTGTCACATTACTTCGCGCCATTTTCGATCTAGATACGTTCGAGCGAGCGTTAATAGAGCAGTATAGTGGGACTTCAAACTTTGGTCACGAAGTTTGATTTATATAGCTTGTTCAATTATTTCTAATACACATTTATTTATTATGTTATGTATACATTATGTTATTTTCAGCATGGGTCGAAAGACCCCTAGGTATATTTGTATAAGAAAGTTAAAATATATATTTATATTAAGAAATGCAAATAAAGCAAGGTACTTCTTCTCTCAATACACTTATACTAGTACATAAAAATTGGAGTGCATATTTGTAATTCAAAATACCTAATCTCACAGAGTGAAAATTTGTCATATGGCTCTTAATAGGAGGGTGTCTTTATTCAATAGATTCTTTCATATAGGTACATATTAACTAGTGCGATTTAAAACACTTTGTTATATTGTTCTGTGGATAAAAAGCCACTGCTGACCGCAGATAGTAGTAGTAGTATTATAATTCGTCCATGGGACAGGCGAAGGAACTAAGCCATACAGCCAAATCTTGGACTGACCACAGATAACCGTGCTGCTGATAAATGATATTGTTTTTTTTTTTCTATCTTATCAGCTGTGCTTATCATTAATTGGATTGATGCCACGGTTATTTACGATGGCTAAAAGTACAGTATTTAATTTAATACGCATATTTAAATCAAGCGTATCCGCCGTACTTCCTGAGAATATAATGAAAGATACAGTGAAATACAATCATAACAGTAAAGAGTTAAATATTGATGGAATAAGTGTTAGTTTACTGAATAGAAATGTCTATCTAGTAGGTACAGGTAAAGCGGTACAAGACATGGCTTTAAAAGTTGACCAAATATTGGGTCCTAAAATAAAGCAAGGTATCATCAGCATCCCTACAGGAAGTTTACATTATAATGCTAGAAATGGAAATGTTATGTATTATGAAGGAGCTAGAAATAATTTACCTGATGCAAATGCACAAGCAACAGCAATAAAAGTAAAAACAATGATAAGTCAACTAAGTGATACTGATATTCTTATAGTTTTAATATCAGGAGGTGGTTCTGCATTATTACCATTACCAAAAGAACCAATGACATTGGAAGATAAAACTGATGTTATTAAGTTGTTAGCAAATGCAGGAGCAGATATTACTGAATTAAACACAGTAAGGAAAAAGCTTTCACAAATTAAAGGTGGTCAATTAGCAATTATGGCTCAGCCAGCAGATGTTATATCCTTAATATTATCTGATATTGTTGGAGATCCATTGGATATGATAGCTAGTGGGCCAACTTCTGAAAATAAAGACCATCCAAATGCAGCAATAGACATCATAAAAAAATATAATCTGTATGACCAACTGCCAAACTCAACTAAAATAATATTGAAAAATGTTGAAGATCATAAATTATTCCCAAATCATAAAGTCAAAAACCTTATTATTGGTTCTAACAAACTCAGCATCAATGCAGCAGTAAATGAATGCAAAGCTATGGACTTTTCATCAATAGCTCTAACAAATATAGTGACTGGTAATGTCAGAGATATAGCTCAAAAATATGTTAAACTGTCAAAAATATTTTGTGATTTTATTTTAAAGGATTTAAGTAAAAACAGTTTGAAGGAAAAGTTGCTATGTTTAGACATACCTGGAGTAAATGAATGTTTAGATAATATTGATGGCCTTGATGTTTCAAAGAAAAACATATGTTTAATTCTTGGTGGAGAAATAACAGTGGAAGTTAAAGGTCAAGGTAAAGGAGGTAGGAATCAACAGTTAGCTTTGGAATTTTCCAACTATATCCACAAAATTAAAGATAATTTTAAGGACTTTGAAGTATATTTACTGAGTGCTGGCACTGATGGTATCGATGGACCCACAGATGCAGCCGGAGCGATAGGATACATTGAGTTAGTTTCAGATGCTATGAAAGAAAATATTATTATAAATGAATATATTAACAACAATGATACATATAATTTCTACAAAATATTTAAAAAAGGTCTTATGCATGTGATAACAGGTCATACTAATACTAATGTGATGGATATACATATAATACTAATAATAAAAAAATCTACTATATAAAAGTTGTGTAACATTTATTTCATTTACTAATTATATTATGATGAGGGTTTTAAAAATAAATTTAATTTATTTTGCTTTAATTTTTCTTCTTTCAATTTAGCAGATGCTAAAACAGCCTGTTGGCACAAACCTGCAAACTTGTCCTTTTTCTTCTTATTATTTTTAACATTCTTCTCTGGTTTCACTACACCTTTTAATGTATTATTTTTATTTGATAAAGAAAAGGCATCCTTTGATTTTGAGTATACATTTACTTCAGGACTTTCTGTGGAGCTCTGTATTTTTTTAGGAATTGTACAAACATTGTTATTCTTTTTTCCATTTTTTTTATTATTTATTTTTGTTACCTCATTTCCTTCGACAGAAAGAGCTTTATTTTGTCTATTTTCACTACTGAAAACAACTTTACTGGCCTCCTGCTTGGCTGGTTTCGGTGAAATTATAATTGAAGAGTTTTTGCAAAATTTACACATTTGTTCCTAAAACAATACAATCAATTGATGAAATTGTTATATATTTTTATTTATTTTATAAAAGTTTTTAGCTTCGAACTTACAATTTTGTTACTAAACAATAATTGTCTTCTTTCTTCAACATAATTATTATTACTCTTATTAGTCTTGTATTGTCTTATCCGCCTTCTTTGCTTTTTACTCAATTTGATTTGTTGAATCTAAAAGAAATAAATGTTCTTAACAAATACATAAAAATAGAAATCCTATATATTTTTTGAGCAATGTTTAAGGCAGATAGGAGATCGTGGAGACAGTTTCAAATTCAAACCTTCAAAGAGATATAAAAATTAATCTAAGACCATCATAAATAATTGCTAAGATATAAAAATTATTGTTATTTACTGTTACTGCCCATACATACTTTAACCTCTGTTCCCTTTTCCCAATCAACAAAGCACCGCGGACATCTAACTTTCGACGAGAAATATTTCTCTGGGAGACCAAAACCTTTCGTCAGTTCCCTGCAACGCATCCTGTGGCAAATAGATTTTTTTATACTAATTATATTGATTCTGTTAAACAGTTAATTAAAGCGATTATACTTACAAGTAAAAACTTTTAAGCGTCTTTTGTGTAGGATTACATTCGGCTTGTGCTAAAGTGGAAACTGCCTTTACAAGAAAGCTGACTTGTGTTTCTAACATTTTTTATTTATCGAAAACCTACACCACCCACTAATATTAATCTATGCCCACTGTAATACTCTACGTTTTAAAAGTTGGATTCAAGCGAAGGAATTTGAGCCAGTACAGCCCTGCCAGATAGTCTTGTCTTAATTTGCAGAGAAATCCTCAGAAATGAAAAAGTTCTCAAATACTTTTCCAGAGGCCCGTACACGTCATGAATTCGTGTCGTGATTAAATAATGCGTTAACAATAATTCACCCGAAATGTTGACTAGCGTCAGAGTACGAGTGTAAAAAATATCTTTGTTTCAAGTTCATTTAGACTGTATTTTCAGACCTGAAATTGTATGTAAGACCTAACGTCTCTTTGCTTTCAATATTATAACAATAATGAAATTTTTACCGCCAAAATGTCATGCCAACGTCAAGTTATGTCAACAACAAAGTAGAAACGAAAGCTTGTACTTGCCGGTGATGGTTTTATTTTTTTCTTCGTTAATCTATAAAATTATTTGAAATTTATATTGTAATTGTTTAACCAAGTATCGGAACAATTATTGATATTTAAAGAGAGATCTTGAAAATGGATGTAGCCGACACCTATGCTACACAAAGTCAAGTGAAAGATGAAGTTGGCGTACGATGCCAAAAGCTGTTTCAGGACTTTTTAGAAGAGTGAGTAGTATAAAATTTCCAATAGATTATATTATTAATTCATACAAATGCTCGTACTTTTGCTGACGTTTATGATAAAATTACTGTTTGAGGTTATATTATGTTTAACCACCGATGTTATTTCAGACGATATTTATTTACTACATTATTTTACTGCTGAATATAACAGTACATGTTAACTATGAAATTAATAACATATAACCGAATGACAGCCAAAATTTATTCAAATTTTACCTCCACTAAATTTAACGGTTGTTCAAAATTATTGTTTATTTCTAGATTCAAAGAAGATAACGAGATAAAATATGAGAAACAAGCTAAAGAACTACTGAAACCAGAATTAAGCACCTTGGAAGTCAGTTTTGATGATGTAGAAAAATACAATCAGAATCTCGCCACTACTATTATAGAAGAATATTATAGGATATATCCTTTTCTCAATCAGGCTATATACAACTATGTTTTAAGTTTAGCAGACAGTGGAATGAAAAAAGACTTACAGGATAAGGAGTGTTACATTTCTTTTGTTGATGTGCCCACCAGACATAAAGTGAGAGAGTTGACAACTGCCAAAATTGGTACTTTAATTAGAATATCAGGACAAATTGTAAGGACACATCCAGTGCATCCTGAACTTGTATTAGGAACATTTGTGTGTTTGGATTGTCAGACTGTTATAAAAAATGTGGAGCAACAATTCAAGGTAAACAATCTATATACAAAAAAGTTTTGAATTAAGCTATTCAGTTATAAATTATTTAAAAAAAAATGCCTATTTTAAGCTTCCACAATATAAGAATATTTGTGTGCTGTTTTGTACAATTAAACATCTTTATTTTTTGTTTCATAGTATACAATCCCAACTATATGTAGAAACCCTGTATGTGCGAACCGGCGTCGTTTCATGCTTGATGCGGATAAGTCTGTTTTTGTGGATTTCCAAAAGATTCGTATACAAGAGACTCAAGCAGAGCTACCTCGAGGATGTATACCGCGCTCCCTTGAAGTGATATTAAGAGCTGAAGCAGTAGAATCAGTTCAGGTAAAAATATGACAAAATAATGCTCAACAACTTATTGTTAAATGATGAAAGAGCCACAAAAATACAAATATTGAAAATATAAAACAAGAGAAGTGTGTAACAGATGAATTTTATTACCTCACTAATGTTATACATTTGTTAAAAAAGTTGGAATATATTTGGACATTCATGTTTGCATATTTATTGACCAGTTGCTAATTCAAAGTTTATGTATACTTTTATATTTTTCAAAATATTAAATCATGCAAATTTTTTATATCCAATTTCAATATAATTTGGCTATTCTTTACAATTAGCTACTTGAGTTTTTTCAGAAAAGTATTTGAAAATATTCATATGATCATACGAAATAAATATCAGATTTCTTTTTCTCAAATAATTTAAATATAAAACAAACATTTTAATTATTAACACTCACAAACAAAGATGCTGTTGCTAAGTTATCGTTGATTTCTGTCTATATCATAATGTTATGTGATGTCAGACTATACCCCATCATGGCTACTCACATTTCAACCCTTGTAATCCATAGACATTAGACAAGAGATTGATGAAAATAAGTTTTGCACTAAATTAAGAAATTACTTCATTCATATGCCATATGATTCTCTTTAGATGATCATTTATATGGTTTTGCTGGACTAATTCTAAACAATGTTGTATTCTATACTTTAAAAGTGAATAAATAAAAAAAGTTGATGTTGCAAGAAGAAAATATACTAATGAACATTTTTAAATTTTCATTAAGATAGCATTGTGAATGCAATATTGATCAAATATAATTATTAGAAATTTAATTATAATTTATAAAGTATAAAATAAAGTTTATAATTATAAAGCAATAAACATTGCATAGTTATTTACATATTTGATAATTTATTGTTAACACTGTCATGTAGCCAATTAGATAGGAGTGATGTCTCCTTTAAATAAATATGTTTGTCACATTTTACTAATAAATTATTATCAAATCTTTGTTAATACAGGCTGGTGACCGCTATGACTTCACAGGGACCCTAATAGTAGTGCCTGATGTAGGTTCACTTTCTATGCCTGGTGCTAAAGCTGAACTTACAACTAGAACGAGACAGGCAAATGAGGGTCAGATGGAGGGCATCAAGGGTCTTAAAGCTTTGGGTGTGAGAGAGTTACATTACAAGTATGTTTAACGCAATGATATATTTAATGACTACAATAGTGTTATCCATTTATAACATAAAACATTTTATAGGGTTTCAGCAATATCCTATTTTTTTCTTGCAAGAAAAGAAGTTTGCATACAGACACTATTGCAAACTGCCAAGGCTTTTTGTAATATTCTTCTAGTGGCTATACTTATAAGCGCTCTGCTAAGATTATCAAGATTTGATTACCTATTTGTTGTTCAGGTACTTAACAGGTTGTCAGGGACAAATGTAAAAATTTCTCCAATTTATTGATCAAGCCTTAATTTATTGATGGTTTAGTTTAAAATTGGTTGCACAAAAGCTTTTCGTGTGTAATGTGATACTGTGTCTACTATTCAGTTAAAGTTTAAGTAACTTATTTCACTGTCACTCCAAATTTAACCTGGATTTACAAACCTGTGTGGTCATACCCTTAAAATTTTGAAGGAAGTTGCATGATTCACGATTTTATTGCACTTAATATAAATGGAATTAAGAATATTCTTTTATTTATGTTTGTGATAACAGTTTTTTTTTCATTGCATATTTTAGAAAATATTTCAATTTGACGTATACGATTTTGGATCATGTACCTATGACACCGCTTGTTCTGACCGCGCCTCTTAGCAAAGTGTGAAACTTAATCCAAAGCTTGAAATATTTTTTAGGACTGCGTTCCTAGCATGCAGCGTTCAAGCGATAGCACGTAGATTTGGTACGGGTGACCTCGCCACAGACGACTTGACTACTGAGGACATGAGGAAACAGATGACCGATAAAGAGTGGGACAAGGTAATACATATAAAAATAATCACTAAAAAATTTGACTTGCAGGTAAAGTAAACATATAGGCCTTAACTTACTGTTGGGGCCGCTACTGGCGTCGCCTATCGAAAGAGACATCAGTGACTTTTAATGGGTATGCCCCTCCATTTTGATTAGCCCCCATTCTAGGAGTGGGTCCGGAAGCGAGGCACACATGACCCGTGGACCTCGCGCTGAAGGAAGCGGGTATGCATTATGTATTTCCCATCGTCAAATAAAGGTACAGTAAAGTAAGCGCATAGCTGACCTACCAATATTGACGATGACTGAATGTACTACTAAAATCTATATTGAGTCTTGTTTTAATGACCATAAGGTGTAAAATGTAATCCATTATGTATCCATCTCACTCACACACAACGGGGTCAGGTGTGTGGTTATTGGTGGATCTCTTAATGATCAAGTATAACACTTGAATCGTTCCGATTGGAATATATTTGCCGCGCTTCAAAATTTAGCCTTCTGTGCAGCTACACCAGTGAGACACATCAGTTGTGTCTTACTAAATAGGGACGATGTAATTTTTTAATATAGTCTGTAAGGTAGATTATTATTGAAGAATATTCAATTATTAAAAAATATATTTTCAGCGTTACATTAAATTAAAATGTCGCATGACTGTAAATTTTCTACATAGTTGTGAAGAACATTTCTTGTTAAAATGAAGCAAAGAAAAATATCTATGTATGTAATATTATTATATCTGATGGACTAAATAGTTTCTTTTTTTTATCTTGTCATTATCCTTATTATGAATGTTCTTTAATTCATGTTAAAATTTTTTTTACTTTTGTGTAAAATGAAACATTTATAAACTAATTCTGACCTCTAATCTTTATCTGATAACCGTAGCTTTTTATTTATAATATATATCTTAAAATGAATTCAATTTGTAAAAATAGTAAACAATTTTCTATATATTTTCGTTTTTAGGTGTATGAGATGTCCAGAGATAGAAATCTTTACAATAACCTCATTGCAAGTTTGTTCCCAAGTATTCATGGAAACAACGAGGTGAAGAGGGGTATTCTGCTCATGATGTTCGGTGGCGTCGCTAAAACAACCGTGGAAGGTAATTTTTTCTTAATCTAACTCTTCAAGATATTATTATTATATTTGATTAATTTTGCATTCACAATGCTATTCTGAAAAATATTTTTAATGAAAAATGCTTAAAAATCCACTTTATTCCTGGCACTCTCTTTGTCATGAGTTCGAAACCCTTTAGAGTGCTAGGGACCAAGTGGATTTCTTGAGCATTTTTTATTAAGATATTGTTAATTATTCTGGACTTAAAACATTGGGAACAACAATATCTTGTGATGAATGGGACATTCTAAAATTTTTATTGTTTTATTGTTACTGTAACTACATGTCACAGTGTAAATGTTTGTATTATTATCATAAGCTACCCAAACAGCATTCACTACAAGATGACTAGGAAATATTCAGCATCAGTTTAGTAATGATTTTGTATCAAAGACTTTTTATGTTATTATAATGTATACAACTTTGAACATAGACAGCTTTCAAAAAGATATCTACACTCCCGTATAAAGTCTGGCGAAATCCACAAGGGCAACGCCATTTATTAAAAAAAAAGAAGAAGGGTATACCAATTGTGCTATAGTCTTGTCTAGTCTTCTTTGGTTATGCAAAATATGAAACACTTTCGATATTGACTACGGTGACGGCAATACCACGAAACCTGCCCGCTAGGTTAGTGAAATTATCGCAATATGCACATTTTTTGAAAATGTTTTCATATGATAATTTACATCGTTATATAACTGTAAAAAAATACCCGGTAATGAAAATCTAAAATTTAGTAACCATAATAATTGATGAAAATAAGTAACAACTACGAGCAGTTTAAATGCCGAAATTTTTGGCGCGCTTGTCGTGACGTCAAAGTACACAACTAGAGATGTGACATTTTAAATCAATATGGATTTAGAGTGATTGAATTTTTATTCAATGAGGAAGTATTTAAGAACATAAAGTTCGAAACTTAGATATCAATACAAATACGAAAAAGTACAAATAGGATTTAGTTTTATACATGAAAGAAAACCGGAAGGGTTGTCATGGAGAAATCAAGAACGTACCGTAGCAACATCTAGTTTGTACCGTTACAACTAAACTTTTTTTTAATACTTCCTCATTACCAAAATCGATTTACAACCAATATTTTTTTAAGTATAATAGACTTATAGAATATAGTTTACGAAATTGGTGTAATAAAAAAAAAGCCTAAAACACACTGTAATCTATTGTTTATTTTGCCACATAATACATGGATGTTATTGCATTGATGTTAACTTTTTGTAATAGCGACATTAAGCATAATTTTATATATATATTAATATTAATAAAGCATAATAGTAGTTGATTAATTGAAAATATACATGCATTATCCAGGTACAACCCTTCGCGGTGACATAAACGTATGTATAGTAGGCGATCCGAGTACAGCTAAATCTCAGCTCCTGAAGCAAGTGAGTGAGATCACCCCGCGGGCTGTATACACCAGCGGGAAGGCTTCCTCGGCCGCTGGTCTCACAGCCGCTGTTGTTAAGGTGAATAGTTATAAATAAACTCGAACAAATTAACATTGTTACGGGTTCGGTGCTTCGGTCAATTAAATAGGCTGATCAGCTTGAGTATAATTTATTAATGAAATAAGGGTAATAATAAAAAACCCTTGTCGGGCTTCTTGTTACACTTTTGGATCGTACAAAATACAGTTTTAATTTAGTAAATATGTTATATTATTGTATCACCATAATATATGAATTATTTAAAAATTACATAGTAAAATTTATACCAATAATATTGTATTATATTATAATTTCATCTTGTGTATAGGAGAATTTCTTACGAACTGACATCCATAAAGAGTAAAATTGATTAGTCAAAATTTTAAATTACGAAAGACGAATAGTAAAATGAAATGATGTTGAATTTCAAAAACAAAAAGTTTGCATACTGAAACCTAGGAAAACAAACGGTGGCATGGCACACCGTTACAACATGACACCTAAGGGTCTACTCTATTTGTTCTTGAACAAAATTTTTAAAAATTCGAGTCTTTCATATTTAATTTCCTTATAATCACATCCGCAACGATTGCCTGTGCATCAGAGGCAGTGTCGGGTCCTACCTCCATTCCATTATAAATGATAAAAAAATTCGTTTCCTTGAAATAGTATTAGCATTTAAAAAATAGACGAACACTAAGGTAGAATATTGTTTTCTTATATTTTCACGCGAACTATCCATCTTAAACCAATGAAACCGTTTAAAAGTTGTTTCATTTACGACGATATCAATAAGAAAAAAAAATTTTTTTTACTTGGCCATTTTTAATTTTATATTTATGATCTTAACGAAAAATACAATCAACTCAAAAAGACACTCTTAAATCGGTTCATCTTCATTCAAGAGCTACGGTGCCTCACAAAGACAGATAAGTCAGACTTATCACCCCTTATACTTATACTATGACCTATACCAGGGGTCGGCAACCTGCGGCTCGCGAGCCACATGCGGCTCTTTGGCTGAGAAGCTGCGGCTCTTTAGATCCGAACACAAATATTATTTATTTTATAAAAAAAATCATTTTAAAACTTTCTGAATCTATTAACAAAGATTCAGCACCACTTCTATCTCTCAGCCACATAGTCTTTGTTTGTACCCGCTGTTCACCCGCTCAGTCTGGACGAGGCTATTGAAGTACAAATTAGTGTTGTAACTTTGTAACTAAATGTTTAATTGTTTTATTTTTTTACTTGAATTATAAATAATTATTAATACCATAAATATGTTTAATTTTTTATGAAAAAAACTACTCATATAAGAATAAATAAATATTATTTTGTCTTATAAATAAACATTAAAATTACTTTATTTATGCAAGTTCTATTTGTTGTGATTGAATCACCATGATTGACCGAAAGTAGTTGATTCCGTGCCTCGGGGGGCACGTTAAGCCGTCGGTCCTGCGCCTGATCTCTCACCGGTCATGTCGGTCAACCGTCCCATCGGATATAGAGAGTGGAAGGAAGAGAGAATGAACTCTAAGAATGCGAAATCTAGTTGGTTACAATAAGCAAAGTCCTGCGCAGTAAGTCGATGTCAGTGAGAGTAGGACTACATTACTTATTTATTGTAGGCATAAAAACATTTTTTGTGGCTCTTTAAAAACTTAAAAATGTTGTAAATTGTAACTTTTGGCTCTTTTGACTCAAAAGGTTGCCGACCCCTGACCTATACTATTATGTTACATAGGACGAGGAATCATTCGACTTCGTGATAGAAGCAGGCGCATTAATGTTGGCCGATAATGGTGTATGTTGTATCGACGAGTTCGACAAGATGGACCCCGCGGACCAGGTGGCCATACACGAGGCTATGGAACAGCAGACCATATCACTAGCCAAGGTAACATAATATTAAGTATTGGGCTTCGTAGCTCGGTAACATAGCGCAATCGTTGTAGTGAAGCAACTTTTGCAAGGGTGGTCACGGGATGGATGACCAAAAAATTATTATCTGGGTAGCTGGTAATGGCTTCATTTGGAGACATTAATACCTTCCAAACCACATTGGACCAGCATGGAAGGTTGTGACCCATCTTTCTTAACCGTCAATAAGGAAGGCCTGAGCCCCTGCAGTGGGGATGTCAAAAGGATGATGATGATGAAGCATAATCCACTATAAAACTGCTTAATGAGGAAGTATTTAAAAATAATAGTTCCCGAAATCAAACTAGATGTCGCTAAGGTACGTTCTTGACGTTCCATGACAACCCACCCTTCTTTCATATTTAAAAGTAAATTAGTTTTCAAAACTCAATAAACAACTCATATTCAATTTGTAATTTTCCGTATTAAAGTTTCTTAGTTTCGAACTTTTCAAATTTCAGTTTTTCATATGTTAGTTAATAGAAACAGAAATTACTGTCTTTGGTCCATTCGTTTCCGGAGGTGCTTTTTTAGTGTTTTCTTTTTTTTAAATACTTCCTCATTGGTATAAGCAGCTTTATAGTGGATATACTAAGGAAGAATATTAAAATAATTCATTTGTATAACTACTTTTCTTGATTCTATATTATTATTCACAGGCCGGTGTTAGGGCTACTCTAAATGCTCGCACATCCATTCTAGCAGCAGCAAATCCAATAGGAGGACGTTATGACAGAGCGAAATCATTACAACAGAATGTGTCTTTAAGCGCTCCGATTATGTCAAGATTCGATTTGTTCTTCATACTCATAGATGAGAGTAGTGAGATGGTGGATTACGCTATTGCAAGGAAAATTGTAGATCTGCATTGCAACAAGGAAGAGACTTATGACTGTGTTTATACGAGAGAAGATTTGCTTAGGTATATTGCGTTTGCGAGATCGTTCAAGCCGATTATAACAGAGGTAAGTTAGTGTTTCAAAAAAATAGTAAGATTATTAAATAAAATATCTGCTTCAATGTAAATTGTTTGCAATATCTAGTAAACATAATTCTACAGTCAATATAAATCTTAAAAATATAAGGCATTTTGCAATCGGTTTGTTACAACTTCTATGGAACATTCTAAAAAAATAATTTACGGTTTCTCAGTATCAGAGGTCGGAATTAGGTAGAGTTATTTATGTATTTGCATCGAAATGTTGATATTAATGTGGACTATCCCGATATTTCTAATGGTCAATCTTGGACATCTTTGGACATCCGATGTCATTGATGTAAGTTTGGCAACGTCGTGCGTGCAGTAGTTTAAATTGTGTAAAAGTAAATAACTTTTTATTTAAAAAATCACGGGTTTTTTTCTGCTCTCGAAAAGGAATCTCGGGATTTGAGGCATATCCACTTTATTCTTTCGCTGTATGAAATCAGTGTAAGTACATGAATAACTCTACCTAATTCCGACCACTGCTCGTTATGCTACTTCTTATTTTGATCAATGTTCTAAAATGTTAAAGAAATATTAAACCCATACTCTAATAATAGATTATGATAAAAAATGTCTTATAATTATTCTGTTGTATGTGCCTATTACTTTACTAATATAATAATAAGAAAGGTTTGATTATTTGTTTGCATTGAATGAGGAAATAATTTAAAAAAATGAAAGCACTAAAAAACCACCTCCACTAGATGGCGACTCTAGCAAAAGTTGATTTTTGCGGGAAACGAATGGACCAAAGACAGTCAGTTCCATTCCTTTTAACTAACATATTAAAAAAGAGAAATTTGAAAAGTTCATAACTTTAATATCAATACAAATACGAAAAAGTACAAATATGAGTTGTTTAATGAGTTTTGAAAACTAATTTGCTTTTAAACATGAAAGAAAACCGGAAGGGTTGTCATTGAGAAATCAAGAACGTACCGTCGCGACAGCTAGTCTGATTTCTAATTTTTTTTTTTTAATATTTACCCATTGGCTTCGAATCTACTGGACTGGTTTTACAAATTCTTTCACCAAAGAAGCTACACCACATAAACATTTAGGAATTTCCTAAGCAGAAAATGCATTTCTTCAATGAATATAAACTATCTAAGGACATTAAGTAATATCTAAAGTTATGACATGCGCTATGCAGTGCTTTAATATGAAAGATCACAAATGTGTAAAGAGATAAAAGCAAAAATGTTTATTTGGAATTAAACTAATCTGCTTAGGCAATTCTTAATTCTATGTTAGTGGAAATGGGTGTGCGTACTATGAAATAGATCAGAAACGTATGGTGTATAGGAGGCGGGCAAGCTACTAGTAGAATACTACGGCGTTCTTCGTGCCAGAGACGGCAGCGGAGCGGGCGGGAATGGCTCGTGGAGGATCACGGTGCGACAACTCGAGTCTATGGTGCGACTAGCGGAGGCCATGGCCAAGATGCACTGTAGTGGACAAGTGGCCGCCACTCACGTACACGAGGCGTACAGGTGTGTACAAGGGGCCAATTCTACTAAATAAATATAGTTTATATCGAATCGAAAACGGATCGAAACCGAGCGAAACTACAGTTTTTAATGGTTTTTCTTTTCTACTAAGTGACATACGATACAATTTTAGCTAAAACAAAACTGGAATTGTATCGTATGTCACTTTTTAGAATAGGAAAACCATTAAAAACTGTAGTTTCGTTCAGTTTCGATCCGTTTTCGATTCGATTTAAACAAAATTTATTTAGTAGAATGGGCCCCCTATACTGTGTATTTGTATATTGTGTATCTATGGTGCGACTGGTAGAGACCATGACCAAGATGCTATGGCTTCTTCCTTAACCATCCATAAGGAAAGCTTGAGCTCCTACAGTGGGGACGTAAGGGCTGATCATGATGATGAAATTATTTATTCAACGCCGCTTATAGAGGAGTCTTTGTGCTGGGTTTGGTCCGAGACGTAGATTAATGGATTATGACAATCGGCTTAAACATTTTTCATTGGTCATTTTGGAGAAGGGCAGATGATAATTTATGTTCTCTAGGAGATTTATTTAATTGTCGTCTACGTTCTTTAAAAGTTTTACTTTTGTGTGATAGTATTTAATATGATAGTATTATGTTATTTAAAGTTTTCTTGTTCTGTTTTGAAAACAACGTAACGGATAGATTTCAAGTATAATACACAATTTATATTCTGTTATTGTACCTCAAACTACAAAAATAAAAAAAATATACCTATATTTTTTGACACGGGTTCATCTTGTTGATGAATAAATATTTTTCATAAATACTATTTTATAAATTAACTCGATGATGTCAAGTTTTTGTATATAAATTTTTCATTACCACATCATAAAAAACTTCAAATATGTAAAATGACTGTATAATGCCTATACACTGCAAATTAATCATTATGGAATATTTTATTCTCAGGCTGCTGAACAAATCAATAATACGCGTGGAGCAACCTGATATTCATTTAGATGAAGAAGAAACACAATTCGAACCGAACATGGAAGTGGACAACGACGTACCCAACGGGACTGCTAGTAAGTAAACTGAATAATCTATCTATTATTGACCCGGTGGGACATATTAAAAAAAAATATTATCCCTATTATAAGATTAAAAAAAGCAGAGTACTTCGCACGCCGGTTACAAATTGTCGCTATCTCTGTCCTGAGTTCCATTCCCGGTCGACGGACTAATAGCCTAATTTTAAAAACTATCGCAATCCCACTCAAAGGTATAGTGAGAGTGATTTATGGAATTATGTAACTTTAAGTTAGGCTTAATCGTTTTTAGAACGAATGATGATTTGATTATGACACTTACGGTCAGTTGCACAAACGTTCATTAAGCTTTAATGACGCCTCAAGCTCTAATGAGTGTCAAAGCTGTATCGGTAATGTCGCTTTAAACTAATGACAATTTTAATGAAAGTTTGTCCAACCGGCTGTTAGTTAAGCTCATCGAAAAATTGCGGTTAGCATTTGACTATTTCGTTTGTCATTTCTCAATAGCTTTCAAGCATTTATCTCTTTGTTTAAAGACAGTTTCAATGAACATTATCCTACCTTACAGGAAATATAGTTGTAGTGTTAAGTCCGTGAATATTTTTCAAATATCAAATTGAAAGTGATTGCAATAGATTTTAAATTAGACAACTAGGCCCCTAGTTTATGTATAAAAATAACTTTGCTCTATTGTATCGCGTCTGGGTGTTGTGGTGCCTTCGTTGTCTCAGATACTCCATAATACGAGGGCTTTAGATAGTCACCTTCGAAACTGAGCTATATTTATTTATTATTGTTTAGGTAAAACATATCATTATGATATTAATTTATAGAAAGGAAATAACATAACCGCAACTGTTATTTCCTAAAAACATCATCAAATTAGATCTAGCCCCATGTATTGATTATGTTAAATTTTTTACATTCAATCTGTAACAGATGGCCACGTGAATGGAGATTCGGCACCTAAAAAGAAGTTGACTCTATCGTTCGAAGAGTATAAAGCACTAAGCGATATGTTGGTAGTGTTCATGAGGAAAGAGGAAGCGGAAGCCGAAACTAGAGGTAAATCCATACTAATATGCATTTACAATATTAAAAGTGATTCTGTCTTTATATATGTATGTTTTCATGCTTAATTACTTGACCAATTTAATGACACTTAACACAAAGATAGACTGGACCATAAAAAGGACTTTAGTTTTTATAGCCGTTTCTAAAGGCCGCACAAAAGCTTGAAAAATTCGTCCGTAATGTTGAATCTCGGGTAGCTCAATAGATAGAGCAATAGCCTGGATTGCGAAAGGTGGGTTCGAATCCCATCTCAGGCTACCTATGGCTGGTGGATTTTATGAGCCTTTTTCAATAAAAATATTTAAACAAGATCTTTGTTGCTAAGTATGTTTCTATTTTGTACTCTGGCAATGATGATGAGTCAATAATATATATGAATATTACATGTATGGTTAGGCGAGGAGAGTTCCGGTATGCGTAAGAGCGCAGTAGTGAGCTGGTACCTGGAGCAGTTGGTGAGTCAGGGGCATATCGAAGATGAGGACGAGCTGCTGCAACGGAAGACCCTCGTAGAGAAAGTGATCGATCGTCTAATGTACCACGTGAGTCATGGTTTTATGTTTATATAAATTAGGGAATGCAATCTCGCGAGATTGGGATGCGGACGAGATCTCGCGAGTTTATGAATATCAATACCTATATTCAAGACCTAGATAGATTGGCACTTTTGTGTCTTTACTATTTTACTGTAATATTTATTTACCTAACAATATTTGAATAAATTGGAAAAAAAAATGAAATAAACATTTATTTAAGGGTATTTTCGATCCAGGTACTAATCTTTTAAAATTCATTAACTAAGGTTGAACTAATATCAATGAAAGAAAACTATGTGTACCCATAGTTCTATTAGAAATTAGAGAATAAATTAACAAAATATACCAATCAATTTTAAGACTTTTTAATTTTTTTTCATACGTCATTATTATGAATAATTTTAAAAGTAGCTTTTTAAGCACAAAATGTCAAAAGAATCTTCCTATTCGTCTTATTATTGTGCTGGCCAGGTAACTAGCCACCGAGAAGACCCTTTGGAAAACACAAGTACTGTAAAAGCGTAAAACTTCGCCTTTTAACCCCCCGGAATCGCATCAATTCGCTCTGCCGCACTTAGAATAAATCGAAAATTAGAAAATTTTATGCTCGAGTGCAATCTCGTTAAACTCGCGAGATCTCGTCTATTTTTCGACCGAGATCAATCTCGCTAAAAAAGGCCGAGATTTCGCGAGAACGAGATTGCATTCCCTAATATTAATCTTCTACTTCTAAATGTGCTCTTGAACTAAGCGAAATAGTTCTTTAACATTGGCTATCTTATTAATTCTTAGTTCATTCTCGGATATTTCGCAACCAAGACTTTTTTCCACCAACGCATAGATTCCCCATTACTTTTCCCATTAAGTTGAAGAAGATGGTATAGCTCATGCCTTAAAATATGGCCAAGGTATCCACTTTCTTTTGCTTAATAGTTCGCATGAAATTTCGGATCTTCCCTCTTAATAGTTCGCATGAAATCTCGGGTTTTCCCTTCTTTTTTTTTAATAGTGGCACTGTTTTTTTCATATATATATATATTTATTCTCATACAGACCTTTTTGTTTGTATTTGAATGTTTCCATTAACCATAGATGACGAATACCGTAGTCCAACAACTTGTAGTCTTCAGTTTAGAGTTTTTTTTCTTCATAATAGGCTTTTCTCCCGCAAATTGAGATTCCAAGTGACAGGTACATTTGAATTTTCTATCTGATTCAAATTTGAGTGATTGTGTATGCACAACTTATTACAAAATGTCAACAGTAATCTGTTATAAACTTTAACGTTAACATGATAAAGGTTCAACTAGATATCTTGTATGACGTCATTCTCTTATACATTCCTGAACCCACAAATTTTAAAACCGTCTTAGGATTTGTAAACTCTTCTTACGTCTTTGATTTGTCTATCATAGAATTTTCTAACACCGGTAATACTTAAGTTACGTAAGTCCCTTTCAGGAAGGTGTAAAATTTAACTTCAAAAAATTCACTACCAGTGAAGCCCAAGTTAAATTTAGAATTACATACAAAAAACAAGGTTATAAAATACTAAAATATGAAATAAACCAAGCAAAACACTGGATTTTGGCAAAATTTACAAGAGCAACGCAAAACAATTTAAAAGAAGAAAAACTGTAATATGTTTTAAGCGTTAACATGATAAAGGTTCAACTATATATCTGAGTTTTGGATACATATTATGGTACATTTATTTATCTAAAATATTAAAATTAATGTGTTTTTGTTATCATAGTCTACTCCAAAACGGCTTGACCGATTTAGACGAAATTTTATATGTATATTCAGTAGTGCTAAAAGAATAGGTTGTTATCTATTTTTATACCCCTGAGTGATAAGAGTTGTCCACACCAAATTTATTAACTTACATTTAATTCACTCGTAAAATTTTCTTTCTTTTTTTTCAGGATCAAGTTATTATACCGTTATCCACGACAGGTCTGAAAGCATCACAAAAGTCGTCGGATCAGGAGATCGAAGACGATCCCTTATTAGTAGTCCATCCTAACTATGTTGTTGATACATAAAATATTTCTTGTCTGTAAGCATAAGTACCTTTTTTAAATAAAAATGTATCATTTGATATTTGTTTAATTTTATATTATACTAGTTATTTCCTGCGACTTCGCTGCTGAAATAATTATAGGGTATAATTACCCGAGTATGATGTAACTTATCGTAGGTGAAAGATTTTTATAATCGGTCCAGTAGTTTCGGAGACTTTTCGATGCAAAAAAAAAATAATGGAATCTTTTCTCTTTATAATAAATGAAATGCATTTTATTAAATATTGGTATATTACTCTGGTAAAAAAAACTCTAGGTAAAAAAAAAGCTGCCCAAGAGCTAGTCTGCCTTGTGCGTAGGGCGTATATTCCGCACAAGTTACTTTAGGCGAGCCATAATATTATGTAGTTCATGATTCGAAAAATATTGAATACGAGAATAAAAATGTAAAAAAAAACACATTTTACTAACATCTTTCGAACACTTTATACAAATCATTAAGATTAGCTATTTGTAAAATGGCACCATTATTAACGAAACTCGTCGGGGGTAGAAAATATCTTCTTATGGCCGGGAAAATCACGTGCTCTTGCCTCCAAAACTCAGATTTCTGCACTTCTGTCGTGTCATCCGGGTTGGGCTGCGAGTAAAATATAGCAGTCTGTCGGGAAAACGTATCAAAGCACTCCTTTTCAGACTCCCAATTCACCTCTGTTACTAATCGAACGAGGTAAGTGGGCAGAGCACCCATGAATGGGGTGTGGCCATCTAAAAAATATAATTTAGGGTTATACCATTTATAAACAGAATTTTTAATGAATCTAAAACAGTTTAAATGTGTTAAATACTCACCCAACAATAAAGGTAGTGCTAATAACTCGCCAGTTTTATTTATTTCCAAAGAAAAATATTCTAAGAGCATATCTCTTTTAACAATTAACAACTCTACCATTTGACATGCTAACTGTCGCATATCACCTGTAAAATAGTAAACAAAAATCATAATAAAATATTTATAATCATATTATAATAGTTAAATCTTTTATATATTTAAAATTTTTGATGAAATTTACCTAATTCTGGATTCCATTGTTCTTCTTGTGAACTAAGTCCTAAAACTAATAGTTCTTCCAGCGATAAGGGATTTGATAGTTTTATTAAACCAAAATTTTGGAAATCGTATAACATAGTTTCATAAAATAATTCCTCTCTGTAAATAAAATAATATGATTATAACATTGAGATTTTTATTTCACAAGTTTCAATATACAATGAGTACATACGTTAATTTAGTTGTATCACACAAATATAATTTTGTTGAGTGTTGTATCAATGATTTATGGATGTCTATGCAAGCTATAAATATAAGATTAGCTAAAATCTCCCGAAGATTCTTATTACATTTATTTTCTACGTCTAATCTTAGCTGTTTAACACTAGTCAGTTTTGTTTCTATTCGCTCATATTTGAAAGTTCTAGTCTTAAAAGATTCCTTCGGATCTATGTAAGTTGCATTAGCCTGATCTGCAGCTGTTGTTGCTTTCCATCTGTCGGGTATGATTTTAACACATTCATTAGGTTCATTTACTAGAGAACTATCCAACAATTCGGTTCCTTTTTCTTCTACTGCATCAGGTTTTTTAAATTCTTGAACAACTTTAGTTACACTTTCAATATCATGATCTATTTGTTTTTCTTCATCTTCTGCAAATATATCATCTTCATCTCTTGGTTTATTTAGTTTAGATTCAACAACTTTTGTGGTAGTCGGGAAAAACTTGTCAATTTTTTGTACATCAGCATTGACGCGTACCATATTATTAGCGTAAACTCTAGCACCTTCTGTAGTTTTCTTAACGTTTTCTTCAACTGCTGTGGCACCTGGTAAACGGGCCTATTATATTTAGGTATTAATGACAAAACTGAACAATACAATTAATTTTTTTTTCATTTGATCATGCATTTACCTGAGTGTACATAACTCTTGAAGAATTACAACTGAGAAGTTTAGTTTCGATACATGACTTAATTTTCTCAATAATTTGTTCCTCATATAAAAACTGAACCTCATGTTTTGTGGGATGGACATTAACATCAACATTTTTTGGATCTGAAACCATAAACTGCATCTTAAGAGTTGTGTATTGTGGTTTATGCAGTGGCAGCACTTCGGCTTTGGCAATATAGATGGTGTGTGTACCGCCCCCGTTCGGTCTCTTGTCGTACATGATACCTGCTTGCTGGATGTACATTATTGTACTACATGAATAACAATAATATAACGCATATTTGATTGTCTGGCTACCAACCCCACAAACACCCATGAACTAACACGAAAATGAAGGGGTACAGTAAAATACTAATATGGCGCATAGTGAATCTTTGTTTGCCCAGAGCAGATCCACCAATACCAACAATGATCGAACGTATTAATCAAATTTATCGTGAGTCTTATTTGAGTAACTATAAGGTGTAAAATACAAAGAAAAACATACAAAAACAGGTTAAGACCGTGGATATTGGTGGATCGCTCGATAGCGTGATATTTGTATCATTCTACCTTATATTTGGCCCGCTTTTGCCTACTGCGCTGGCAAAACAAAGCTTCCTAAATATTTACTGATAAAGTCAAAATATTATAACACATAGGTTCAGGTACTCTTGAATTATCTTCGTATGTCTTACCTAATTCCAAACTAAGGTAAACAAAAGAATGAGCATTCTTGGGTAGATACGTAGAATAAACAGACTCCACTGCTTTCTTTATAGCTGAGAACAAAATAAAAGAAACAGAAAATGTTAATCCTCAGCTAAGGAGCTAAAACTCTTGTGTTAAGGTAGTTTGAAAGGACGGAGATATCATAGCAGCCAGCCTCGAGCCAATATATAAAAGTTCATATTAAATATAGAAGTGGGGTGTGAAGCGAACTCAGGACATAAGGGGCAGCTGCACATTGAAACCGACGGAAATACATTATCACTATCTTATTTAATTGATGAATAAGGAACGCAATGTGCTAATAAATAGAATCATTAAATAGATGCTGTACATAAACAGTGACTTCTCAAAGGCCTTCGACGAATTCTGTCACAAAATCCTACCATAACCATATACTGTACATAGAAGATTTTGTTTATTTGCTCGACATATGTTTTTCCAATTATTCTATACTGATATTATAAAGAGGAAATACTGATTGCTTGTTTGTTTGCAATGAATAGGCCCCGAAACTATTTAATCTACATAAAGCTACATAATACGCGTTGAACTATGTCCATACGTGTCCATTTACGTAGGCGAAGTCGCGGGTAAACAGCTAGTTTGATAGAGAAATCAATTAACATACCTGCTTGCTTGAAAAAATATACATACTCCTTGAACATAGAAAATCCTCCATTCGGATTTTGAATAAATTAAAAATATGCAATCTTTTGTTTTTTAACTGAGATACATGAAATACAATACTCATCTCAATATTTAGGTGATATACAGTGAAAACAGTATTTTGTTTTGTTGTAAAAGGATAACTAATTCGATTTCGATAAAATTAAATGGGACCACCTCGGTTCATTAAGCTGTCGAATAAAAAAGAATTTCGAAAATCGGTCACCAATTGGCGAAAATATCGATGAACATACATAAAAGAAACATATATCGACGTCGAACATATAAGCTCCTCCTTTTGGATTTTGAATTCTGTTAGAAATATCATCTTAATTACGTATTATTGTAATAATAATGATTGTGACTTAATGAACTCTGAATGTAAAGTATAACAATAAGAAATCCAAACCAATGTAAAATTTTCAGTATTTTTTTGTAACGGTAGGGATGACGACTAATTTGTGTTTGTTTCATTTGTCCGTCAGGTAGATTGTTGAAAAATATGATAACATATTTTCTATTTTTTCGTAATGATTAAATTACGGCGATACATTGAGATAAAATGTCACATGACGCCACACTTTTGTACGTTTTCTACCAAACTGTGACGTAACGTGCCCCCACTCCTCAACTTTAAAGTCTGTTATCGAAGTTATTTCTTGTCAAAATGAAGTAAAAAAAAATATGTATCCAATATTTTTCTATTATCTGACTGATGGACTAAATACAATATCATTATTTTTTACCCGACATCCCTGTTATAGGCAATCGTAATTAATTGAATGAAAAAAAAAATGTACCTTGTGAATCCACCAATCTATGATTAATAAATAATAGTAATGTTCCCTTTTTATTTGAATAATTGACATTAGTGATATAACCGTTAACATTTAGCTTTAAAACTGGATCTGTGAGTTTTATTTCCATTAGTTCTCGTGCTATTGTATTACCATGTATCTGAAATATATTTATGAATAAATAGTAAGTAGTTAATGTCTTTTATTTTAATTTAATAATATTTACTTTAAGTACGCACTATTCGGACGTTGTCAATTACAGATGATTTTATAGGTGTTTTCAAGTCAGTGTTCTCTCCAAACTTTTTAAGCGTGAACCCAACATGATTGTTATGTATGGCATAACCAGTAACCACATCCATTATGTGGGTGTATTCTTCAGATGGGCTCCTAAGAGCTTTCTTCCGAGCTATTACATTGTAAAATAAGTCTTCCACTGTTATCTGTGTTCCATTGTTACCAGCACATGCCTTTAAGGGACCTTTTAGTCTACCATTTTCATATGACGCTCTAAAATTTCAATAACACATTCTATAATCCTCAATCTGCTATTCTAGTATTTGTTCAGTGTAAAGTATTGACATAATACACAGACTGGGTTTCCAATTAAATATGTATGTGATAAATTATAACACGCCAGTTTAAGGCCGAAACTGGACTGCATCAAAACCGCATAAATTGCGACTCGGTTTTTCTGATCAAGAAACCCTAGGACATGAGACCAAAGACAAAGAAATCCCCCCCCACACACCCCTCCCCGCGCAATGTGTGATTGAATTGAACTTTGAAAAGAAGGCCATTAAAAAACATTTTGTGAAGCTAGTTATTTTACTGGATTATGTTATCAAATTTTTGAGCTCCCCCTGACAGTGACGCTCAGGACAAGTGCCCCCTCTTACCACCCTCTAGATTTGGCCCTGTTATCTACAAAAAATTGTTGAAATGCGTTAGTCTTAAGTGCGCGCTTGTATAGTAGGGTATGTTGGTTGAGCCTAATACTCACTTACATATACCTACTACAGTAAAACCTGTTTAAGACGATTTCATAAGGATGTACTAAGCTTTAATTAATGTATGAAAACATGTATCAATCTTAAGTTGTAGGTACTCGCGTTAAATGGTGTATTATGTGGTAAATCTAGTCTATCTTTATTTTATACTAGTGGCCGCCAGCACCTTCGTCCGCGTTTTCCATTATTTCTTCACTCCTAATAGTTGCAGCGTGATGTTATATAGCCTAAAGCCTTCCTCGACAAATGGTCTATTCAACACAAAAAGAATTTTTCAATTCGAACCAGTAGTTCCTGAGATTAGCGTGTTCAAACAAACAAACTCTTCAACTTTATAATATTTGTATAGATCTGTTAAATAATTATCTGGCTTTAACAGAGTTTCAATACAATCGAAAGAAAAAAAATTCAACACATATTCTTATACTGATCTATGGTTGCCAAACATGGAAAATACAGATATAGTAACCATCCCATTATCTGTTCTTTTTTGTAACAACCCAAGAGATAAAAAGCGAAGAATAGGAAGACAGACCAAAAATTGGGAAGACAACATCCCAAAATAATGGAGAAAACTCAGTAATGCCAAAAATTGGTGCAAGAATCTGAAGGAGTCTTCTGTCAGATGACAGCCTGACCAAGATTCCAATGTCACTAAAAAGTAGCTCAAATTTATAGTTGGTCAGTGAATAAAGGCTACTGTTACTTATTTATTTAAAAACAAGTACCTGTAAGCACATTTTGCACTAGATGTTTTTGTGAGTATTGTAAGATGTGCTATATGACTTATGCTTGCAAGAGCTTCTCCTCTAAAACCATATGTGCAGATCTGACGAAGGTCTTCATATTGTTGCAATTTTGAAGTTGTAAATCTCTCACAAACTATTTCCAAATCTTCATATCGAATTCCAGTGCCATTATCTTGAATCTGGTCATAATATAATATTAAAATTGCCTTACCTATACAAACTGAGTCTTAAAATGTTTAATTTATTTTTTGTTACCTGCAAGTATTTCAGACCACCAGATTTAACTGTAATAATTACATTTGTAGCTTTTGCATCCAAACTGAAAAAAAAAATATCTTTCCTAAAAAGCTTATTTCTTATGACAATGATGATGTTGGAACATATTTATTTTATTAAATACACAAAAGCAGGTGACAACTCATAATTAAAGTAACTAATAAGGCAAATATTAGGTTGAAACTCTAAGTAAACACATACTACTAAAGTATAGGTATGTAAGTTTAATCAGCAAATATTTTGTATGTAACATGCAATAAAACAAGACAGTATTATGATGACAAAACTATGTCAAAAATATATATTTTAATAAAATTTTATTGTGCAACTCGTATTTAATCAATAACGCTAACTATAAATGCTTTTGCATGTTAAAAATAAAAAATATCATTTGGATGCCTGTAACCCTTAATGTTTTAATAAATAAACAAAAACTTTATAATAAATGTTTAGGAAAATTGCAGCAAATACTTGCAAATTTGTAATGAACTGATTTGTAACGATATTCGAAAAGGTACACCATTTTTATGAAGAAGAGGGTGATAAAAAGCCCAACACCAACCTGTTTTCGATCAATTCTTTTAGAGCGTTAGCTGGCCTTTGTACAATTTCACCAGCCGCAATACGATTCACAACATCTTCACTCAATTTTCGAATTACACCAGGTTCATTCATGACTTGGAAAAGCTTGTGATATTTTTATAGCAAAGAAAGAATATAATTCAATTCCTTAAATTACATTTATGTCTCTTTTAATCTACGTTTTAATGAAAGCTCGTCCGACGAAAGCAACGTTACTTTTAAACACTACACAACTACACAGTTCTTCTTCTTCTTCTTTTTTTTTTTTTAATTTATGGCCTACAACTACACAGTTGGGTTATTTTAATAGGTCATATTTGACATCTTTCTATTTGAATTTCTTAGGCGCTTATTACACTACCCAATCTATCGGGCACGATCATTACACTACCCAATCTATCGGGCACGATTATCGGCCGCGATTTAGGGCGGTTGGTGTCGTTGTGATTACACTGCACTAAATCGCCTCCCTAACTCAGTTGGCATGCAAACGTGGCGTTGAAAGGATGGCTCCTTCGCTCACAAAGTACCAAAAAATTGGCATAGCCCATACTTTAACTGCGGGCGTAAGCAGTAAAACAAAATGTTGGGTGAAAAATATTTGCTTCTTAATGACCAACTATGCAGTTTGAACTACTACAGAATGAGTTCTGCAAAATTTGATCATATATTAAACATGACTAAGTTTACCTTACATTACCTTACCTTATATAGCGCAAAACAGCGGTTAGCTGTGCTGTAACCTTAAAATTTTTAGCAACGGGAAATGCATATCATGAATTCATGACTTAAAGTATAAATACTCAATAAGTTTATTGTTTCCATAGGTAATTTAAAATAATATTACATAATTAAGTTAGTCTCACTATGGACCCTATCGGGCACAACAATAATATAAAGTTTATTATAGCATTAGTTTTTATTATTGTAATTTATATAAAATTAATAATTGTACCAGACACATGCAAAGGCTATATAGAAATGTTTAAAACATTATATCATATTGATATAGAAAAAGTAATAATATTAAATTACACTTAATATTATTTCTTTTCCTTTTGAGAAGACATTTTGTCTGTTAGCAAATTTCGTTGTCGTTCACTGACGTCTCACACGCACGCTGCGCAACAACCGACTGAGCGCTCTAACACCCTAACAGCGATCACATTACCCAATAAATCGGCCCTAACTCTCATCGGGCGATCGGGCGCCCACGTTCACCCGATATCGGGACCCTAACTCTCTAACTGCGATTAGACTACCCAATTTACAGTGTACCCGATGGATCGGGCCCGATAGATTGGGTCTTATAGAGGGTTATTAGGCGTGCCACCGTAAGGGACAACAAATAAATCATCAGTGTTACTAGATAGTTAAATGTTCCTCGATTATGGGGAGATATTTTGTTATTAGCAAAGGAGGAATAATTTAGTCAGCATAATATGTAGAAATGTTCAGAAACTATCTACTTTTCTGCGATTTCACCAAATTATAGCTGTAGTCAACCACGTATGATGTAACTTCCCATGGATGAAAGGATTAGTAATAGAGGAACTTTTTTTTGTAGAAATATTGATACACTATCTATCATCTTAAATTAACTAGCACATTGAATCAATGGGCTTGGTTGCTGAAGTTTTCGAAATAAAATTAAATTTTACTAAATTAGAATATGCTCAAAAAAGTCTAATTTAAACAAACAAAACTATTTCGAAAATTTAATTCAACCAAAATTAAAAAATATATCTATAGACAATAAAGAAAACCGTTTAAAGGAGAATAACGTACCTATTCAATTATAAAATTATGTTTAGAAAGGCAAATAAGAAACATTGTGATGATGTTGGGCTAACGTCAGTCCAGCAGCGCCACTGTATGTTTACTCAATAGCTGTTAGAAAGACCATTTTTTAAAACCTTAGGTTATTTTAGAATGAAATAAAACATTGAAACTATTGACACAGGTTGATATTTAGTAGATCTTAGTAACCACAAAGTATTTTATCATTCTGACTAATCCAATCGAATATTTTAGTCTCATATTTAGTTACGAAATACTAATAAATAGATATCCAGAATCTTAATAATTATTGATCGAAAACAAATATGTAAGCCTGCAGAGATATTTGACTTTGATCAGTAATTAATCAGATTCTGGATTTCATTACTTCAAGACAGTATTAGCAGAGCACGTATTAGTGTTTTCGAGGTATGAGCGTTTGTGCACCACTGCCGTCGTATCCGTTATCCTGGTCGATTTCATAAAGAGACTTGACGGTTTTCGTTAGTCCACCACGATACTTCACTCAAATTCTAGAACCAGTCCCAGAAGATTTCTTATCTCAAACTAGAATATCTATAAAATAGCTATTGTCACGCGACATCGCTTGTGTAAACTGTAGCCTATGTCAACTGCGTATGGTGTAGCTACCCGTATGTGAAAGAGTTTTTAAAATCGGTTCAGTAATCTTAATAAAAATGCTTAAAAAACCACTTTGTCCCTGGTAGTTTGAGATTGATCAAATATAATAATCGGTCCAGTGGTTTCGGAGCCTATTCGGTGTAAAAAATAAACAATAAAACCTTTAATTTTTATAATATTAAGTATAGATAAATAAACATTCAACATCACATACATGGCTCATATTGTAAGATGTATATTTTGGAGTACTAAACCCCGTATTTTGGAGTATCTGTGACAACAAAGGTACCATAATACTCAGAACTCCCAGACCCCAGACAATAAAGGAAAGTTAATTTTCAACATTTTTGGTTTTTTTATAATAAAAATTAGTGTAAATCATTACACCTGCAGACCTATTTTAATCTATTCTGCCGATGTACGCTGTTGAGTGTGTGTGATTTATTAAGAGCTATGACTTATTAGAAAAATCAATTAATAATTATAATGAAAATAATTATCAATTACTAAACCAATATTAAATAAAGTTACAGGTTGGGTGAAATCAAAGAGGGTACTAAAATAAAAAGCATTTTACTTCGTTTCCACAAAAATTTTACAAATAATTAGATATATCACATGTATTAATCACATATTGAAAATAGCAATTATGCTACTTATAAGTTAAAATAAACTTACTCGATCACAAAAAGTAAATAAATTGTCTACTTAACTGCAGCAAGTACACCAGAGTAATTAATCTAAATAAGTATTCGCTTAATAGAATTAATACTATATAATGTTAAATATATTTAAAAGCCATTAAACAAAATTTGAATACTAAATACATACTATTATAAATTAAAATTGGCTTTTAATTGGTTATCCAATCACAAATTAGAGCACAATTTACTTTGTTACAGTGAATTCTAATCACCCAAAAGATTTTTAAAAATATGAAAATGAATGTTAATATACAGTAAAATGATACATAATTATTATATTTTAATACAAAATAAAAAAAAACATATTTTAGTGAGCTTACAATACTCTTAAATCATAGACAAGAATTCTTAAAAAACATAATAACCAATATTATTTCACAATATATTTTCTAGCATTTCTTTATTATAAAGATACAAACAAATCATAATCAGTGTATTTCTAAAAGAATAGCAACAGATAATATTTGAAGATTAGATTATAGCACAAATAAGTTATGATATTTATGAAGAATATGATCTGTGGCTCTCACTACACAACACTAATAACCGATATGCGACTAAATTATGAACATCTCATATTTTTATACAACAATTATGGCATGGTAAATAAAAATTACTTAACAAGTGCAAAAAAACTATAACTCCACGAACAACACACCCTGGCATGTCTTGAAGGCTTACAATTTGGTCTTCCGCAAGCTTCAATCCAATTTTGAAGTTCAGTTTCATTTATCAATAAATTTTGAAGTTCATGTTCATGTGATGAAAATCTAAAATATAAACACAATTACTAAAACACTTTTTTTAATATCAATTTTTAATTTGGAAAATTGAGGTCATCATTATGATAATAATATGTTTGTCATATGGAATAACAATATTTTATGAAGAAAAAACACATTTGGCCGAGATTTATTGATAAAATTAGTTATATTATCTACTATAAACTCAAACATTTCTAACCAAATACATAGCACAATTTTTAGTGATTCTAAATACAGAAATGATATTCAATTAAGTCTAGAAAATGTAATTTAACATTACATTACAGTAAATTAAGCGGTATTTTAATAGTATCATGCAAAACTTTACTGAGAGGCTTTAAATGCTAATATTTTAGGTTACAAACTTGGATTTATTTTAATACAAAGTTTAAAAACTGCCCAATTGTTTTTTTAAATCGCATTTTGTAGTTCTATGTACTTTGAAAATAGTTGAGTTTCAAACATTTTGATATTTGTTTAACAGAATATTGATAATTTAATTTTAAAGCACTTTGAGGGGAGATTTTAAGCACTTAGATGTCAGCCTTAATGATTTGAGGTTATATTCTTATTCGACTTATTTAATAATATATTTAGCTTGTTTTGTGTCGTATTTAATAAAATTCACATCGGTTATGCCATTGAAAAATTTTACCTTACGAAGAAATAAACAAAATTCTTCTAACTTACCTGAAATATGATAGACCTACAATATTTCTTTCGGATCTATTTTTGCAAGATATAACACTGCACTTAACCATTATTTTAATTTGCAAGTAACGTTTCTTACATATAAACTTTATACATTATATAAAACATTGTTTAAATACACTTCTTTCCAACTTTTTTTGTATATATTTGAGTCCAACAATTTCTATGCCTAAAATCTTGACGTTTTGGTGCCAAACAAGCCTGGTGCCAAACAAAAAAACCGGCACGTCGATAAGGACAACAAATAATGTTTTTGTCTCACTTTAACTAATGAAAATTGTAATAAGTCATTTCATTTCCCGATGAATGAGATAGAACATACCAATAGTCTATTGCTTTCTCTGTCTACGGGCACGATCCATCGGGTACACTGTAAATTGGGTAGTCTAATTGCAGTTAGAGAGTTAGGGTCCCGATATCGGGTGAACGTGGGCGCCCGATCGCCCGATGAGAGTTAGGGCCGATCTATCGGGTAATGCGATCGCAGTTAGGGAGTTAGAGCACTCAGTACGGAAAGTTGTTGCGCAGCGTGCGTGTGAGACGTCAGTGAACGACAACGAAATTAGCGAACAGACAAAAATGTCTTCTCGAAAGGAAAAGAAATAATATTAAGTGTAATTTAATATTATTACTTTTTATTATATTTTTCTTATATATATATATCAATATGATATAATGTTTTAAAGATTTCTAGATATCCTTTGCATGTGTCTGGTACAATTATAAATTATATAAATTACAATAATAAAAACTAATGCTATAATAAACTTTATAATACCTTAATTATGTAATATTATTTTAAATTACCTATGGAAACAATAAACTTATTGAGTATTTATACTTTAAGTCATGATATGCATTTCC